TAGTACTATTAAGGATACGTAATATAGATTTAGCCTTTAGAGTAGAGAAACGATAGTTATAGGTTAATTTTATACTTAGCTAGGAAGACTTCTAAAGTAGGATCTACTATATAATCTATTCTAAGATATAAATAGAAAAAAGAATCACTTATAAACCACCCGTAAGACTATATATCACCGAGCTTATAATCGCTTTAACCGATATAGCGTATCTTTAATAGTAGATACTTTTATTCTATCTACTCGTCCTTTACCCCTCTACTACCTCCTAGGCTACTTATTAGGGCGCCTACGTTTCTAAGATAAGCGCGTCGTATACTATAATAAAGATTCTAGCTTAGGACTAGGTTCTATATTTACCGCCTTTAATATTCCCTTTATCACTCGCCGTATAGAAATCTCCGCCGAATTTAAGTTAGTAGTCGTTACTAGATATCTAGAAGGGGAGGCGGAAATATCAATTTTTAATAGGTAGGCTAATAGCTTTATAACGGTAATAGGGCCGGGTCTTACTAATCGAGGATTAATATTTATTATATTAAAATCGATAGAGGAGGTAGGAGTTTTAGTACCTTATCGATTCTCTAATTCTATAGATATTTCTCTAGAAGAACCGTTACTATAGCTAACCTATAGCCTTTTAGTAAGATAATATAGTTTAATATTAATATTATATTTATATTCTTTATTAGTATAGGCTAAAAATTCGGTAATTTTAGTAAACTTAGGAAGAGTGCGATATACTTCCTAGTTATAGCTAATCCTATCGTATATATAAAGTAGATAAGAGTCGATAAAATAATAATAAAGTAAGTCTAGTCACTTAGAAGGAAATTTATATAGAGGAGGGTTTAACGCTAAGCGATAAGATTTACTAAAGTAGATAATATAAATATCTATTAGATATATTTATATATTATTATTAGACGCTAGTTACTCGGGCTATTTAATAGGTATATTTTCCTCTTTATCGAGATCCTAATTAATATAGTTATCTCGCCTACTCGGCTTATAAAGTAGTAGAAGTGTAACTATATCCTTAGTAATCTAGATACGTTAAGTAAGTAATTTATCCTTATAGAAGTCTTCTATATTAGGACTATAAAAGTTCTCTATAAGCCGAGCTTATTTAGGAAATACGTAGTCTAGGATAGGGAGCTCCTAGTCTTCTTTAGCGGAACTATTAGTATCGCGTTCCTTAATATTAGATTCGCTAAGAAGTATTTACTTAATCTATTAGTTAACTTTAAGTATAGGGGTATTATTAAAATAGGCCTTTCTAGCTATCTCGCGAGTTTCGATCGCTAATATTTTCCGAAGTTTAGCTAGGTCTTTTTTAATAGTCTTATACCTTTAGAAGAGGTATAGAAAGGTATTATAGACGTTCTTAATTATACTAGCTATAAACCGTATCTCCGCTATAAGCTCTCTTTTCTCGCGTCTTAGTTATAGAATTTTAGGGTTTTAGTAAATAGTATATTTATAAGCTTCGGTAAGATTAGATAGTGCTAATAAATCTCTCTTCCTAAGTATACTTCTAGCGAAGCGTACTAGACCTTCTTAGGAGGGCCGAAGAAGAACGATATACTAAAGGTCGCGCGTAATAAATTATAATTAGTAATACTTTTTAAATACCACGTTACTAGACTACCTAAGCACCCTTTATCGCTTCTAGCTAGTAAAATTTTCTATAAGTAGATAGTTAGCTCTATTATAAGAGATCCTATCTATTATAGCGAAAATAAATCTATTATATCACGTTTAGTAAGTGATATACTATTAACTTTATTTACTATCTAGCGGCGGAAATTATAATACCTAATATCGTCTTCGAATCTAGTATCTCGACCTAACTCCTTAAGCGCCTACCGACTTAAATTATAGGTTATTAGTAAAGACCTATCGAGTCTATAGCTATATAAAGTACGTTTAAGACGTTAAAGGAGAGGTATATTAAGAATCTTAGGCTTCTACTAGAGGGGAAGAGATAAACTACCTTTTAGAACTTATAGCCACTAAATAAGCTCTAATATAAGGTCGGTATTAGTAAAAGCTTTATCGCGGAAAGCGAACGTAATAATCTAAGCTATTAGATAATATACTAGTTAATAATCGCTATATATAAAGAATTTAGTTCTATTAGTAAGGATTAGTATCGAAGTTAGTTTATAAGAAATTCGAATTAAAATTTTAGCTTACCTATCTATACCTTCCGGTTAACCTTTAAGATTATAAAACTCGATAATAGTATAGAGGATATTACGTTTACTTTAAAGATCTTTTAGATAGAAAAGTTCGATATCGCGATAGTAGATCGAGTCTAGAAGACCTTTTAAGGAAATATACTTTAGAAGATCACTCTAGAAGGTATTATCCCGTTTATATTTACCTAAAACTAGATTTCTAGGCAATAAGGTATCTTAAGGAAGTAAGACGCTAGATCGCGTACCTATAATAGCGGACTAGAGCTAGACTATAGTAAACTAAATAATTATACTCCTATAGCGAAAGAATCTCGAATAGACCTAGTGATACTAGTAAATCACACTAAAAGTATCTATATCTAGAGTATTTTTATCCTTTATATACTAGGGAATTTTACACTTAGCTAGGAATATACTTTCGAGAAACTTTTCTAAAGTAAGTATACTCTATTTAGGAATAGATAGGATATAACTTACTCGTTATATCTATTAACGGGTATCCTTACCGACGCGGCGATAGGTAAATAGCTCGAAGTATTAATAAAGGCGTCGCTAGTATTTATTATATAACTAAAGTAGTTTCTTTTATAATATTTTAAATATCTAATTAAAAAAGTTTATATAGATCGTCTAATCCTCTAAAAGAAGAAAGTCTATATAATCCTCGTTCGATTAAATATAATATCTATCCCTATATTATTCTTAGTTATAAGACTTTTCCTAACTAAGTAAGCACTCACTTTCGCTAATAACGTTCGACGATAGCGATACCTTCTAAGGTCTTTAGCTTAAAGTTTAAAGGGAGCTATCTAAGACTACGAAAATGTTCTAGTCTAGCTCGAGTTTCCTCGTAAAGAATAGGATCGGTCTAGTATTAGTGCTTATTAGTTTAAGCCGGATATATAGGCGTAGGTGCTATAGAGGAGGTTAGATATAAAGACTAGGGTAGAAAATTCGTGGTATAGGAAATATAACGTTAAGGTCGGCTTAAGGCGTGGGTAACGAGTATAAGAGAATAGGAGGTGTAAGGACACCGGAAGGGAGGGAAGACGAAGTATCTTATAGGCGCTTAAATAAACTAGGCGAAAAGGGAGGGGACTTAGATTTAGCTGAAGGGGAGCCATTTTCGGCGTCGTTTTAGTCGCTAGTGGAAACGAGGGGAAAAACTATGTAAGTCGAGCGTTAAGTCAATATCAGGATATGACTAAAAGTGCTGGGCGGGTGCAGAATAGTGGTGTTATAGGGTAGTGGGCGGTCAAGGGGCGGCTGGACGTCCAAAGTTACGGGTGGAAAGGCAGCCGTTTCTGGCCTCAAAAGCGGTCATTTTCGGCGTCAATCCCACAGGTCCTCATATTCTAGTTGTAAAACTCCTCCATACGAAACTGTCACCTTTATATTTAATATGACTAGAATTGCATTACATGTGTACATATGTTTTTGATGTTAACTAAGGGTAAATTACATAGATCGTTTACGGGAAATATCTAGGAAACCTCAGGTGTTTAATTGATAGTCTCTTTAAACCCGAAGGTTTTAGACCCACCTAGCTTTTTTCATCGATAGGTCGTAGAATTTAAGATCGAAAACCATAGGAGAAGGTGTCGAAGAGCGACAATAAAAGTATATGTAATAACGCGTCAGTATTCAAACCCTGAATAGGTCCCGAACACCCGATATGATATCTTAGCTGAAATCTACTATACCAATTTATCATAGATAGATGCGATTGCTATATTCGAGAAGGTATTAGCAACTCTACTATTATGCGAATTTTCAATTATTTATCTGCATAAGGCTGTAGGGGATTCATCTGATTCTTTAAGGTAGCGATATAAGACGGTTCGGTTTATAGTTCTATACTATCGTGGATATCACAAAATCTGCGCATGGACGCTTGCTTATTCGCCATTCTGATGCGGCTCTTCGGGTCTAAGAGCGTAACTTAGACGCTCCCACGCATTAACATCTCATATACATAACTTTAAACACACGTCGATAAACTAGAATTATAGCGGATCTTACGATTTGCTAATGACTAGCATCGAGAAGATCATTATATAGATTGATAATAGAAAGCCCTCTTTTCCACCTACTTACACTATGGATTAACTTGTCTAAATCATACCTGGGTGGTCTATGGAAGGGTGCACTTATTAGGGAGCTTTATCAGATTGATCTTCACTTCTACTCCTTAAACTAAAACTAGTTCTTTCCATATTCAGATCATCCGCGGGGATGCTGTGACATTTTCACCAGAAGACACACTAGTTCCCGTGAGAAAGGGGACCATGTTGCCTGGACAGTGACTCAATGTTGGAAGTAGCCTTAAATGTCCAGTTCAGCGACTCTACAAGCCCGGCCAGGTTCTCACCTTACAAGGATATTTCGAATTTGACGCATTCGCCACTGCTCAGATCTGTCATCAATTTGCCAGTCAATTTCACTGGTCTGCAGATTTACTTGCCTCGCATCTGGAAAACATCAGGCGCTCTGTGGTGCCTGGAAAAGAGGATGATGACGACTCCAAGATAGCCGCGGAGGCGGTCTTTTTGTTTTTCGCGGGTGAAGACTCAATTTCGAGCGAAAGATATCAATCCATCCTCACGTTGATTGGGTTATCCAACCTTGGAAGTGTTTGATTCTATTCGATTGCGGGGCCCTCGGAGGCCCAGGCCGATGTCCCCGCAGCCTCGGGTGAACAGCCGGTCCATACAGTCATTGTTTTCACACCCGTGACTGAAACATCACTGTCACTATCAATATCAATATTAGCTGTACGCGATCTTTTCACAAGTCATGCCTGGCTCCAATCCACGATCTACCAATGCGTAAGTGTGTAATGCGTCTGCATCTCCGGCTGCAGGGGGTCATGTATGATAACAACTGGACAGATGCGAAACATGTCGAAGACGCAAGGTAAAATGTTCCGGTGATAAGCCTTGTCGGGCTTGTACCAAACACAATTGGGAATGCACTTTTGGTCATTCCGGTCGCAGACGGTTCTCTGAAGCGTGGGTTCATGCGCGTCGTAGGCTCTGGCCAGTCTTGCTGACTCCAACTAGCCAAGTGAAACATCTCTTGGAAAAGGTCCGAACATATGAGGAGCAGCTCAGCTCTCAGTCTGTAGGGGGTCCAGTCTCTTCATTGCCTTCTCCAATAGCGCCAGATGAGACTCCAGGCCGTCAATCTGCGCAACGAAGTCCTTCAAGACCTGGGAATACAGAGCGCCCTAATCAGAGGCAAGATAAGATATTATATCCCGAGGATGATCCTGCTATAAGTCCGGGTAACTTGGCATCGTTTTCTTCTTCCTGGTCTGCTTGTGAATATGAACTGACTGTGCGTGAAGCAACGGACCTGACCTCCGGGCCTGCATTCGAGTCTCAAGTCAGATCGCTTCTTGACAGGTCGCATTCCAGTGACGGCAGCTTTCATGGATCTACTTCAAATTTTCGATGTCGGGCTGACCGATTACCTCAGTGGACGTCGGTTAAAGAGCTGGTTGACAATGTTGCCGGAGTATCTTTCCCGTCTTTGGAGGAATCACAGCACTTGCTTGATCAATTCCTTTTTTATCTTGGCGTGAGCCAGCACTTCTTTGACCCACGATCCTTCTCAGACGACCTTACCTTGCTATTCCAAAGCCCAGAGACAAGGCAGCAACAGATAAACTCTCCTTGGTTTACACAATATCTTTTGGTCATGGCCATGGCAAAGCTCATGGATGTAAAACATCCGACATCACAGACACCTGGAGCGGACTTGTTTGCTGAGGCCTTGAAGCGTCTTCCTCCGTTGCATCATATGGGTGGGGAAGGTGTTGTCGCTGTCGAGATACTGACACTGATTGCTACATATCTGCAGTGGTGTGACCGTAAACATGATGCATATCTCTATGTACGTTATGCAAGGTCCACAATGTTTTTGCACGGTGTCATATCATTGACATGTAATAGATTGGACTCGCACTTCGGCTTGCTATTGCTCTTGGGTGCAACCTACGGGAAATCGACCAACGCTGCCTCCCTTCCCAGAGCGCCCATAGATTAAGACTATGGTGGACGGTGTACATGCTCGATAGGTAGGCCCTTTGTCAAATCTAATGGCTTGGCACTCGACTTACACTTTTAGGCGCCTCTCGTCGGGTCTCGGACTGGCTGCAGGGGCTGATGAACGACAGCTACGTACTGAACTCCCGGTGAACGCGATGGGGTTCCAGTCACCAATTGCCCTTGGTATCAATGTTCGTATCGCGCGTGTCACTGACGAGATAATGTCGAGTAAGTTATACCCATTGAGCTCCAAATTCGTGCTAATAGACCTACAATAGCCCTTTATGGCAATAAGTCAATCACTCAACTGGAATTGGTCCACAAGATCCAGCAAATCCTTCAAGAACTGCATGATACAGGTCGATCATTCCCTAAATCTTTAATGCTGGACTTCAATCGACCTTTGCAATTGGTAAGTCGCACAGGTGCGTCGTTATACCTGATGCTTTTTCAGGTGAGCTTATCCCGAAACAGAACATATTATAGTTTGTTTCCTAATCGATTATCAGGCTATCATCCTATGTACACGGCCAATACTACTTCAAAGAGCCCGTTTTGAAGCTCAGAGGCAACAACAGTCGCAGTCACCTGATCCAGCGCCAAGTATGCTGCTGCGTCTCTGCGATACATGTGATGAGGCAGCCACCAGAAGTCTCGCAATACTTGAATCACTTCGTCGACAGCAAACCATCCGTGAGTCTTTCCATTGCTCTAGTTGACGCACCCTTCCCCCCACACTAGGTTTCGCATGTTTATCAAAACTAAGAGCTAACTACCTCAAGCCCGATATGGCTTTTTCGATCTGGACGCAACATTCTCCGCTGCATTTGTTCTGGTCATGGTAGGCTTCTTGAACAAATCACAGAGCCAACCACCGCCAGCGCTTGATCAAGCATACAAAGTGCTCCAGTTTCTATCACAGTCTGGCAATCTGGCTGCCGAGAGACGCCTGCAGGATATTGCACAATCTTACTCGCACGTTTGGCCGAATCACGCTTTCAATGCGAATGCCTCGCACAGCGATGCAGCCCCCCGAGACAAGACTCAGGCTTTTGCAGCAAGTCCAGACTCGAGACAAGATGGACTGTTGACTTCCTTGGACACTACAACAAATATGGCTGTGGCCTCAAGTGGTCGGAGCGATCATCAAGATGAGATCAGGTTACTTGAGCCATGGTCTAATATGGATGTTCCAGACGCAATGTTTGATATGCAGGGAGACTGGAATCTAGATCTGTCCGGGGAAGCAGAGGGGATTTATTCCAGTTTCCACAATCCAACATTACCACTGACTGGGGTAGACTATATCGACTGGTTGGAGATCGAGAAAGTATTTAACGGTCCATAGTCTCTTGTGCGACGCAAGCATATTGTGGTTAACGAAATAACCTTGTACACCTCAAAGAACTTGCCGCTGTCTCTTACCACAGTCCAAAGCTTTGAATCTTCATGAATGTCCCCCAATGGCTTGTATGGTTCGCTTGTCTACTATGGAAGGCACAGATCAGGTTTCAAACACACATCCACATTTACGCCAACTAGGTTCAAATGTTGTTCACCTTCTCGATTCCTCATCCAGGGAAAGAAGAGCTCTTTACATTATAATATTCAATGTGATTCTTCATTAGCGATCTTGCCCCATTTCACATGTTTTGCACCTAGGCATCTCCAGGACTCTATGCATATAGCCGACTTTCTCTTCCAATGAGGACGAACTTATTGCCTCAATTTCCCCACAAGTAATCATTGCTCCGTAGGTGATCTTCACCTTCAAGTGCTAGGTGGTATTGGTGCCGCCGATCTTGTCTGCCATCACGTGATATGTCAGCATCTCACCGTCCCTGTTCCTCGCCGGCAACATGCATAGTAGTTGGAGTCCGACCGTTCCGTGTTTCGTCGCGTCAAGCATTTTGAGCGGAGCTTCAACTGTCAAGTTTGGCTCCCTTTTGAATCCAACCCTCTCCCGGTCTCACAATCCCACCGCCAAATCGTCTGATAGCTTCCCCGCAATCGCGTCCCTCGCGCCGAACGATGCCCACACTCGCTGTATTCCCACGTGGGTGAAGACAGCAGTTTACACCAGGCCCCATCAGGTCGCCGCATCGAAGACAAGAGAACGCACAAGATAATCACGGTATTGGAGTTGGACCCGAGAAGCCACCGCAAGCATGGAGGCCGATTGGGATGAGCTGTCGCGTATCCCAATGCCGCCGCCGAGCCCGCATGCTATGCCCACTGTGGCAACGGCGACGGCATTTGACGATATGATGGAACTATTATGGACAGGCAATGAATATGTGAGTGCTCATGTCGGCTGGGCGATTTCCGAGGCGGGACGCTGATGAGTGTGTTCGATTCCCCAGGGCAGGGTGTCTTCCTTTTACGGGCCGGAGCTGCAGCGTTATACCTCTGTTCGAGCCCATCCAGTTGCCGAGGGTTCAGTGCGGCAAATAATCTTCCACGAAAGAGGTGTGATTTCGCTATCATCAAAGAGTGTGCACATGATTACCCGACGGGGTTTGACACAGTGGCACCTTACTCATGATGAAATGGTCGACCTCCGATGCATGAGTTTCACCGCCCAAACCAATCGAGTTCTTGTCGCCGGTTCTCAGCGCGTGATGTTCACGGTAGACATTGACAAAGGCACAATCGTCGATAAGCTGCCCACCGAGCACGGCTACACGATGATGAAAAAGAGTCGATATCTCTGTGCTGCAACAGATACTGGATCAGTCAACGCCCTCAGTCTCTCAGATTTCAGTGTGGTCAAGTCATGGAAAGCCCACGGGACAGGTGTCAATGACATGGATGCGCGAAATGACTTGCTGGTCACCTGCGGCTTCTCAGTCCGCCACCTCGGATCGCCAATCGTGGACCCTCTAGCCAACGTCTATGACTTGAAGACCTTGACACCGTTGCCTCCGATTCCGTTCCATGCTGGAGCAGCATATGTGCGCATGCATCCCAAACTTCACACCACCAGTTTCGTGGCTTCACAAACAGGTCAACTCCAAGTGATAGATCTCATGAACCCCAATTCGGTCAACTTGAGACAAGCCAATGTGTCACTTGTGCTTGGCATTGACCTGTCACCGTCAGGAGAAGCATTGGCCATTAACGATGCGGAATGCTCCATTCACCTATGGGGCTCACCAACGAAGGTTCATTTTAATGAATTGAGCAAGGAGACAGAATTTGCCGATGTTCCTACGCGACCTCCTCAGGTAGATTGGTCTCCTGAAGCTCCGTTGAATATGGTTGGTATGCCTTATTACCATGAGCGTCTCTTTTCGGCATGGCCAAGCCATTTGGTTTTCGAGGTTGGCAGTCCGCCGGCTCCGTTGGATCAGTCCATGTTGCCATATTTACGCCCCGCAGAAATGGGACACCATGCTCCAAACCCGAGAAAGACTCGTCGATACCAAATAGAAAATACTCGCGCACTGACCGCGGCAGAGCCGGCTCTTATTGCACCAAAGTTTTTGAGTGAAAAGGCTCGGGACTACAGCAAGTCAGACGGCTTGGTTGGCGATGCCGCAGAAGCATTGGCAGGGGCGAAGATCAATGGAGAAAGCGATGACGATCCATTACTCAAATACAGCAACGTAGAGATCAAATACAGCCGATTCGGTGTGGATGATTTCGATTTCAGGTACGTCCCTCTCTTGCAATTCATTCGCGGCCCTTCGCTCACGTCCTGTACAGATTCTACAACAAGACCTCATTCTCTGGACTGGAGACTCACATCTCAAACTCTTTTACCAATTCCCTTCTCCAACTTTTCAAATTCATCCCACTTTTCCGAAATCTCGCCCTGAATCATGCAGCCGGATCGTGCATATTTGAACACTGTCTCTTGTGTGAACTGGGCTATTTGTTCGACATGCTTGAAAAGGCAAGCGGGCAAAATTGTCAGGCCACCAACCTTCTCAAGACATTCAGCAGCTTCCGAGAAGCCTCAAATATGGGTCTCCTGGAAGAGAATCTTACCAACAAATCACTGTCGACTGCGATCCAAGCAGTCAATCGTTTCTTCCTGACTCAAATAGCTCAAGACTTCCGGATGATTCAGCCTAGTTCTGAAGACCTCGATCAGCGCTTAGCCACTATTGCGTCCGAATCTATTCGTTGCATGTTCTGCCAGAACGAAATTGTGCGCCCTGGCAATTCACTCGCAAACGAACTGATTTACCCGAATATTGACATTAAATACGCACGACGGAATCCGCTATTCCGCTTTTCCAATATCCTACGTGCAAGTATCGAGCGAGAGACACAAAACCGAGGATGGTGCAATTATTGTCGTCGCTACCAGCAAGTGACCATTCGCAAGACAATTCACCGCATGCCTTTGGTCCTTATACTCAATGCCGCCCTGACCAACCCTCTCTGCCGTCGGCTTTGGGCAGTCCCAGGGTGGTTGCCCGACGCTGTTGGAGTTCTCGTTGATGCCAATGGACAGGTGATGTGCTTTGAGGGTGATGATCTTCGCCTCCGAATCCAAAATCAGACACCCGGGCTCATGGTATATGATCTGGTTGGCCTGGTTGCGGAGATTGACATCCCAGAACATCAGAAGCCCCATTTGGTGTCTTTCGTCAATGTCTCCATTTCAGATGCTGAGTCCCAAGAACAAGGCAAATGGCACTTGTTCAACGACTTCTTGGTCACGGAAGTCGACGGAGATGAAGCGCTCCGATTTACGCAGCCTTGGAAACAACCTTGCGTCCTAGCTTACCAAGTGAGAGATCCACGCCATGTCGTCGATGACTCTTGGAAGAACCTCCTCGACAAAACTTTGCTATTCCGGGAATGGTCTTTGAAGTAAGTTTTTGAACGCGATTACGTTTGAAGTCTGAATATAGATGCTAACAGCCAACTTCTTGTAGTGGCGGCCGTCAGGTTGAGTCATGTCACACTCTCGCCGAGGAGGAAATGCCACAGCCCGGTACACCTGTCGCATTAGATACCGAGTTTGTTGATCTAGAAAAAGCCGAGATTGACGTCAAGGCAGATGGATCACAGGAAATGGTGCGGCCCAACAAGAGCGGGCTGGCCCGTGTTTCCGTCTTGCGCGGTGTGGGTGTTCAAGACGGAGTCCCCTTTATTGATGACTATATCACCATCCGCGAGCCAATTGTGGACTATGTGACCCAATATTCCGGTATCAAGCCTGGTGACCTGGATCCACGAACCAGTGAACACAACCTCGTCCCACTCAAGGTTGCCTACAAGAAGCTTTGGCTGCTTCTAAACCTCGGCTGTGTATTTGTTGGTCACGGACTAGCCTCTGACTTCCGCAAAATCAACATTCAAGTGCCCAAAGCACAAACCGTGGACACACAGTATCTCTTCTTCCACCCCGGGAAGAACCGGCGTCTCAGTCTCAGGTATCTGGCCTGGGCTGTCTTCAAGGAACATATCCAAGAGGAACCCGCCCCCGAAACCGTACAAGGTCATGATTCAATCGAGGATGCTCGCATGGCTTTGCGTCTCTGGAAAAAATTCCAGGAATACGAAGATGCAGGTATTGTGGCGCAAATGCTTGAAGAGATCTTCCGCGAAGGCTCGAAACTAGGATTCCGCCCCCCTCCTAAAAACGGAGGCACCATGACCGTTCTCTCCCGACCTGGCACCGCTGTCACCATGCAGAATGACAGCGGTCGCAACACTCCTAGCACCCCGGACACGCGGTCCGTGGTGCCAGCCCCAACATCGGCTGCTCCCATCGTTGGATCCCCCAGTGCCCCTACCACCCCTCGTCAGGCTTTCAGGCGATCGATTGCTTTGACCCCGAGTAACGGAAGCTTTTCTGGACCTGGTGCCGGTGATTTCTTTGGAGGTAGTCCACTTCGATAGACGAATATTCTTCCCTTTAGTTTCTTTTCCACTTGGCTCTTTCGACATGGATCACGCGTGTTGCAAAAGCCTATTACGTACTACATACTCAAAACGGTAAAAGTGAATAAACTCACCTTTTGGATAGAATAGATATAGATACTTGATAACTCTGAGTTACTAGGGTATCACCTCGGCAATCCCGAAATTGGCTTTGCATGACCAAGCTTTGAGTTGGAGAGTTTAACATCAATACCGCGATCTACATCAAATCTATGTACATATGTTATGTTCGGATTGGAAACAGCTTCGCAGAGCTAATTAAAGAGATGTACATCCATGTATGGGAGGGCGGTGTAAGAGGCGGTCGGCCCAATTGCTCCGATGTCCAACATATATTACGGTTCTTACCTAGGGTACGGTTCTTGCTCCGTCACTGACGAACCCCTCGTTCATTACCCCACCTCCCCACGCCGTAATGTCGCGACACCGTATTAAGGATGTCGACTACGACGACGACGATTTTTATGACGACGAGGAGGAACTCGCTGACCCCGAGGAACAGGAGTTCTTGCAACAGTGTACTACCGCTGTTTTGCAGCAGCTCGGTGCCGGGCAACCGTCAGTGACCGCCACGAAAGAAGAAGTCCAAGACGCATTATGGCACTACTACAATGATATCGAGAAGTCGGTTAACTATTTGAGAGGTACGTTCAATTTGCGCACATGTGCCAATTGCATCGTATTACCTATCGCGGGTTTCCGCGTTCAATTGTTTGTTGTGATTCAGCTAACCGAAGTTCTGCATGCAGGAAAGAGAGAGAAGGAGGCTACTAAGCTGCGGAAATCGAAGATTCAACCAGGTAAGCTATGTTTATGGGATAATTGTTATCCGAAAGTGTCGTCGCTGGGCTCGGGCTCTGGGCACAACATATTCGGCGCGACACGATCATGAGTGCTACTGTTCCTTGCAAATGAAAATGTGTGTATCCGGTGCAAAATACGTCCCATGTGATCTTTAGAGAGTCGAGACTGATGCCATAGAAGTTTGAACAATGTTCTAACAGGTCTTCCAGTGCCAGCATACCCTGCTCCTCTCTCTACCGCGCACTTCTCGGCTGCCGATTTCTTTCGCGATTGTCCCTGGCTCAGTGTTCCCTCTCATCGGAAGACGGATATTCTGATTGAACCTCTGTATCCACGGTTGGGGCTCCTGGGCGGCGCACCGGAGAATGGTGGAAAACTTTCGAAACTGGCCGCCCTAGCTGCAGCCCGGAAGAAGAAAGAGGGCGAAAAGGCACCATCTTTGCCGGAGACTTCGACTCCATCGACTACCAAACTCGAACAACCAAAGACGTCGCTCGATCATCCGGGTACGTCGCGCTCCCTTCGTGACAGACTTGCAGCTAGCGGGAGGTCCGCACCAAAAGCTTCAGAGGGTCCTGGGTCTCTCCGTCGTTTGGCAACGCCAAGCTCCTCTTCGCATCCGATGCCGAAACGGCCCGAATCTGAAACCAAAAAGCCATCGGTGTCTGAGGTTTCTGAATCAATGGAAAGGGTGGTGCTTGAAGCGAAAGAAGAACCAGAACCCCAGCTAACAGTGCCTACTATTCGAGCCTCGCCCTCGACATTTGCCAGCACTATCGTCGGTGCAGCAACTGGCCCGACAGCAGCCGAGCCCAGCCACTTACACTCCACCAGCTCAGACCTGTTGAGGCTCTATGGACAGGATCATGCTGAACCTTTTGACTTTGCAGCGCCCAGCCCCGACGATGTCGTTCTCAATGCACAGAGCACAGCGAAAGGTTTGGCGATCCGCAGGAAGGTTTAGAGGCGCTTGCCTAATAATATGTAGGTATGAAATCGAAATCAGCGGCATCGAAATCGGCAGTGGTGAAGAAAGGCCAGTCTGATCTGGCAGGTGGCATGAAGGAACTCTCAGTGGAAGACAAAGTGACCGTCAAAAGCAAGAACCTTGATGTAATATCAGAGTACAAGAAGTCCACCCGTAAGCGGTCCGCAAACTTTGTGGTCATTGGTAAGTCGATCTCCACTGGCGAAGAGGTGCGGACCTAGGCTAACTCATATCCAATATAGGTCATGTTGATGCAGGAAAGAGCACTCTCATGGGACGGTTGTTAGCAGATCAAGGTGCTATCGACCAACGGACTCTAGATAGGTATCGGCGAGAGGCCGAGAAGATTGGCAAGGGCTCATTCGCGCTAGCCTGGGTCCTGGACCAAGGGTCGGAGGAGAGAGCACGAGGCGTGACGATAGATATCGCCACCAATACATTTGAGACAGACAAGACAGCCTTTACCATCGTTGATGCACCAGGTCACCGTGACTTCGTCCCGAACATGATCGCTGGTGCCAGTCAGGCAGACTTTGCTGTTCTGGTCATCGATTCTAGTGTGGGCAGTTTCGAGTCAGGTTTGAAGGGTCAAACTAAGGAGCATGCTCTGCTGGTGCGCAGCATGGGCGTTCAAAAGATTGTGGTGGCTGTGAACAAGATGGATACCGTGCAATGGGATCATGAACGATTCGAGGAGATTGAACAGCAGATTTCCGCGTTCTTGACGACTGCGGGCTTCCAGGACAGCAACATTTCGTTTGTGCCGTGCTCAGGAGTTCTGGGAGACAACATTGCTCGACGGACTAGCGACCCTCATGCGTCCTGGTATACAGGTCGTACATTGATTGAAGAGCTGGAAACGTCAGAGCCATACACGCATGCCCTCGAAAAGCCTTTGCGCATGACGATTGGTGATGTCTTCCGAGGTGGCGTGCAAAGTCCGCTTTCCATCTCTGGCCGTATCGACGCAGGCAGCTTGCAGATGGGCGACCATATCCTGGTCATGCCCAGTGGTGAAACAGCGACAGTGCGCAGTTTGGAGGTGGACGGTGAACCAAGTGACTGGGCGGTGGCAGGTCAAAACGTCGTTTTGAACATCGCCAATATCGACCCTATTCACCTCCGTTCCGGCGACGTCGTCTGCCGTCCTTCCTCCCCCATTCCTACGATTACTTCTTTCACCGCCAAGGTTCTGGCCTTCGAACACATGATGCCGATGCAAGTGGATGTGCACCGTGGCCGTCTACATGTACCTGGTCGTATCAGCAAGCTGGTAGCCTCTCTGGACAAAGCGTCAGGAGTGGCTATCAAGAAACGCCCTAAAATTGTGGGTCCGGGTGTCGTTGTGCGTGTTGTGGTTGAGATGGAGCAAGCTGTTCCTCTGGAGGCACCGACCAGGATTGTCCTGCGCGCGGGAGGCTCAACAGTGGCTGCTGGTTTATTAGAATGAGCTTTCCTAATCAATTCATCTCAGTGGTGATATGCCACAATTACTTTCCTTGGTAGCACGTTATTGTTGAAGTACATTAAGAGTTTTGGGTCACTGAACAATGAAAATATATATATCACATATTACTCAAGAGCTGACCACTCAGGGATTGTCTCCTGGATCTGATTTCAGATATGATCTGGGAAAGAATCTCAAGCCCAACTATTGAACAATTATTGAACGAATTATTGGATTGTGTTGCACGAGTAGTGTCATTAGAGTTAGACTCATAAGCTGTATACTATATAGGGTATATCTCCAGGACATGGCTGGTGCTCTGTGACACCCCCCTACTCCCTACTCGGGAGATCCCCGGCCCAAATCTAGGCATATACTAGTACGCAGTATACCTCGCCAGCATGCTTGATCTAGATGCCACTTGTCATGATCAGTCGACATCAAATTAGGCTGTTGCAATTTACCATAGAACCATGTAGCAACACGTGGTCAGTGGCAAGGACATGAGTCCACCGGGTAAACTTCAGTAACAGTTCCTAGATCGCGCGAATTCCCTGAAGGGGCAAACCTTTGGCCCCTTCTAGCAAGTTCGATCATTTGGCAGTCGTTGATTGGTGGAAACCCTGAGTAGTCCATGGACAGACCCCTGCCGCTAGACTACTTTGGGAGAATAATGCTTGTTGAAGAAGGCGGTGTGGCTGCAGGGTGGTTTCTGAGTCAGCCGCTGCCGAACAAAAGCCAGCCAATCAGCGCACGAAAAGTGACCTGAACTGGGAAAAGGCCAGCATGGCCGCTGGGCCGTATCCGCGTACAAGAAGTCCTCTTTCTTCGATTCTTCTCCTGTCCATTCTCTCATTCCTTCACTTCGCCCTGGGTCCCTTTCCCACATATCGTCGACTAACATAAGGGTTCATAGAGTCAAACACGCCCTGTGTTTACTCGTCTGCGCAGCTGTTTGGAGCGGCGCGCGCGAAGCTTCATAACGACAGCTTCTTCGTCTTCGTGTTGAAAAAGGACTTCGATCCACCTATCTATACATACAACTCTCACAATGTCTCGCCTATCTGCACGCGATGGCGCGTCCAAGCCCTTCGCCTGGACAACCATCTTCTACCTCCTCTTCGTCCTTGTCGCGCCTCTGGCCTTCTTTGGAAACACCGCCCACGCCCAGGAGGAGGCCTCCCCTGAGACCTACGGCAATGTTATTGGTATTGATTTGGGAACCACTTACTCGTACGTTGCCTCAGTCTTGAAATCATTTATGTTGAATGAGACAGCTTGCTAACTTTCAACGTAGTTGTGTTGGTGTGATGCAGAACGGCAAGGTCGAGATTCTTGTCAACGACCAAGGAAACCGTATTACCCCGTCCTACGTTGCTTTCACTGATGAGGAGCGCCTCGTTGGTGACGCCGCCAAGAACCAATATGCCGCCAACCCTGAGCGCACCGTGTTCGACATCAAGTAAGCTTCCACTACACCCATTGCAGCATGGACTCAGCACTAACACGTCGCAGGCGTATGATTGGTCGCAAGTTTGATGACAAGGACATCCAGAAGGACGCCAAGAACTACCCCTTCAAGGTCGTCAAGAAGGATGGCAAGCCCCAAGTCAAGGTCGACGTCAACCAGTCCCCCAAGACCTTCACTCCCGAGGAGATTTCCGCCATGATCCTCGGTAAGATGAAGGAGATTGCCGAGAGCTTCTTGGGCAAGTCTGTCACCCACGCCGTTGTTACCGTTCCCGCCTACTTCAGTGACGCCCAGCGTCAGGCTACCAAGGATGCCGGTACCATCGCCGGTCTCAACGTCCTCCGTGTCGTCAACGAGCCCACCGCCGCCGCTATCGCCTATGGTCTTGACAAGACTGGTGACGAGCGCCAGGTTATTGTTTACGATCTTGGTGGTGGTACCTTCGATGTGTCTCTCCTGTCTATTGACAACGGTGTCTTCGAGGTTCTGGCTACCGCTGGTGACACTCACCTTGGTGGTGAGGATTTCGACCACCGTGTTATGGAGTACTTCGTGAAGCAGTACAACAAGAAGCACAACACCGATGTCAAGACTGATCTCAAGGCTATGGGTAAGCTGAAGCGCGAGGTTGAGAAGGCCAAGCGTACTCTGTCTTCCCAGATGTCCACCCGCATTGAAATCGAGGCCTTCCACAACGGCGAGGACTTCTCCGAGACTCTGACCCGCGCTAAGTTCGAGGAGCTTAACGTTGATCTGTTCAAGAAGACCCTCAAGCCTGTTGAGCAGGTTCTGAAGGACGCTAAGGTCAAGAAGTCCGAGGTCGATGACATCGTTCTTGTTGGTGGTTCTACCCGTATCCCTAAGGTCCAGGCTCTTCTTGAGGAGTTCTTCGCTGGCAAGAAGGCCAGCAAGGGCATCAACCCCGATGAGGCCGTTGCCTTCGGTGCCGCCGTCCAGGGTGGTATTCTCTCCGGTGATGACTCCATGGTCGACGTCGTTCTCATGGATGTTAACCCCCTCACTCTCGGTATCGAGACCACTGGCGGTGTTATGACCAAGCTCATTCCCCGCAACACTGTCATCCCTACCCGCAAGTCGCAGATTTTCTCGACTGCCGCCGACAACCAGCCCACCGTCTTGATCCAGGTGTTTGAGGGTGAGCGCTCGATGACCAAGGACAACAACATGCTCGGCAAGTTCGAGCTGACCAACATCCCTCCCGCTCCCCGCGGCGTTCCCCAGATCGAGGTCGCCTTCGACCTTGACGCCAACGGAATTCTCAAGGTCAGCGCCTCCGACAAGGGCACCGGCTCGTCCGAGTCTATCACCATCACCAACGACAAGGGTCGTCTCTCCCAGGAGGAGATCGACCGCATGGTCCAAGAGGCCGAGCAATATGCCGAGGAGGACAAGGCCATCAAGGGCAAGATCGAGGCCCGTAACGGCCTTGAGAACTACGCCTTCAGCCTGAAGAACCAGGTCAACGATGAGAACGGTCTGGGTGGCCAGATCGACGAGGATGACAAGCAGGCCATCCTCGACGCCGTCAAGGAGGTCAACGACTGGCTCGAGGACAACGCCGCCACCGCTACCATGGAGGACTTCGAGGAGCAGAAGGAGCAGCTTTCTGGTGTGGCTTACCCTATTACCAGCAAGCTGTACGGCTCTGCCTCTCCTCCTGATGAGGATGACGAGCCCCTTGACCACGACGAACTGTAAAATTATCTTTGAGGCATTATTCATGGAGTTCCACTTTTTTTTTTCTCTCTTGCTTGAGTCCCCTTTTGTGTTCGAATTTACACGGGGCACTGTTTGTGTCCCCTCCAACTTTTAGGCCTGGTTGTTAAAGGCTGGCTAAGAATACAATACAATGATACCTTGCATTCTTTTATTAAATATAGTGCCGCAGTAACATGTCCATCTTTTGGATCAAAGTACATGTACATACTGCACGCTGTATTGACGTCCCTTCCAAGGGTACTACCTATGTAATCCACTCAGAGCATGGGATTCCTATGTATACAAAAGGTACATTGTGTCCACGGGCCACTTTGTTCTAGGAGACTAATCAAGTGAACCTCGGAAGGGTTTCCTTCTCATTTAAATGTTCTTATTGTGTTACTAAATACAACATCTATATTGGTTGACCCCCCACAAATGCCCGAATAGTTTCCGCAACAACCTGATGATCATCCTCCTGCTTCAATCCACTAACAACAACAACACCAATAACCCCATCAACACCATGCACGCGAATCGGGTAGCCACCGCCATGGATAGCATACTCATCCGCAACAGCACCCCCATTGGCACTCGGAATAGCATACTTCTTAACAAAAGCAGCCTCAATCTGGTCCGCCGAGGCACCAGCCGCGAGCCCACTAATGGTCTTCTGTCGCATAGCCCAGCTCGAGATACCCCAGCGGAGCACGGTGTTTCGCTTCCGTCGCACCCAGTTCTCGTTGTCTGGGATCGTGCCGCTCTCCGTCACAGACTGAAACACCACGTGGAGCGGGACGCCGCCGCTAAGGGCAATGGAGATAAGGGCCGGTTTGCGCTGTCCGTTCGGGAGGCGGAGGATTCGGTCCCTCAGTGCATTTCCTAGTAGCCAAGCTGTTTCTGCTGTGAACGTGTGAAAAATTTGGTCCGCGCTTGTTTCTTGCGCGATTAGGACTTGCGGCTGTTTCTTGATTAGCTTTCAGGCTTCGGCTTGTTAGGAGCATGGCGGGGACTCACGTCCGTGCTGGGTGCGGAAAGAGCCATGATTGAGGTGGTTTGAGGTTTAATTGGCACTTAGGTATGTAGGTACATATGCAAATGGTGAACAAAAGTTGAGGGCAACTTTTGGGATTAAACGGTATTCCTACGCAGTGGGGTGATGGCAGGGGTGGACCTTCCTTCCCGCGCATCGGTGACGTCGCCGAAATCTAGACTTTTATTCCTTGGCTATACTCCATCGCATCGTATCTCAAGATTTGATCCCACAACATCCAGATGTCTATATATGGATTCTATCAAGCTTGATCCTCACGGAAAGGTTCCAATATGTATCGGCAAGCCTGCCGAAAATACCCCTCTTTAACGCACAATGTCTCTGCATTCCGATGTACATCTTTCTACATGACACTTCCAATAACTTAGGCCCCCATGTCACCCAAACGAGCCTGCGACGCCTGTATCTCCCGCAAAGTGAAATGCAGCGGTTCTTTGCCCTGCGATACCTGTCGCGGTGCAATAAAACGGGTGCGCTGCACGTACCTAAGGCCTGCGCACAGGAGGGGCCCGAAATCCCGGCGAGTAGCAAGCCACCGAGAGACCGACCTTCCAGAGATCCCATATACAGAGAACGTGCAAAATGACCAAGAACATGCATACATGATGAGCACTAGCGATGAAACCGTTTCTCAATCCACTCCGACCTGCAGCCCCCAATTCATTCCAAAGACAATGCTTGCGTCGGTCATCCGTCTCTATGAGCAACATTCATATAGCGTCTGGCCTGTAACCAACGCAGAAGCTCTTCTGGCCAGACTCGAGGATATACATCCGGAAAGAGTTGGCTCCAATGCTGGGAACTCTTCCTGTTCTTATCATGGCCCTCTGTGCGGCGACGATGGCTCAGTTGCATCTTGACCCATTGGTAGATGGATCTTGGACAGTGGATAGCGCCAAAATGGCTCAGACTTGCCTAAGAATGCGTGCAAGTTGCGATAGTCATGGGGCAAATCTAGATTCAGAAGCGTTCTAATATCTTTCTTTTTGCATGTGTACCACGCCAAGGTCAACCAACGAAATTTGGCAATGATGTTCATCCAAGAGGCCATGACCGGAGCTCGTATTCTGCGATTAAATGAAGAGTTCTCACACGAGGAAGATGTGTTGATTGCAAACAAGGCCCTCGTATTTCCGTTGCTTTGGGTATCAGAAAGGTAGGCTAACCTCTGGTTTCGCGAAGTACCTTGCTAACTATCTACAGAGGTGATTCGTTGCACCTGGGTCTCTCTCCTTCATATATTGACCCCCCTGGATTAATAAACTTGGAGACAAATATGAATGCTGATGTTCATGCCCAAGGGTTGCTAGAGCTCGTCAAGCTCTTCATTGTATTTGATCATATCTCGGTACAGCGCAACTCGCGTCCTGGGATCACCATGGCTGCACATCTGACCGATACCGAGATGAAAGTTGCCTCACTATGCTTCAGTATGGCCAATCATGTTTCGACCCGAACGGCAGACTACCATATAACACGGGAGTGGATGAGGACAATTCTCTGGCAGGAGGCACTCAGTATGGGCTTGCTGTCGTCTTCAGCGTGTACACCCGTCTTGGCATTCGGGTTTCCAGCGCAAGTTGGCCGTGCCTTGCTGCAGGCCTTGCGTGGCTTCAGCGAGACAGACTTGCTCCCATTGGGACGAGACCAGGCTAGTAGCTTTGGTAGAAGGGAAATACAGGCTATGGCTAACCTCCTTTTGCAATTACTGGAATGCTTCGAAGTCGCCAACTCGCTGGCAGACACGGTTCTTTTGTCCTCACACAAAATAAGTTCTCGGCTCGAACTAGGACCACAGGACTTTCTGCATGCATTATACCAGAAGATTGCTCCTTTTCTCGACCAGGATACCATGTTGAAATCAATCCTTCGTTCTAAAACTACCGAAGCCCTAGTCGCAGCTCCAGCTCGCCTGCTGACAATAGGGGAGGAAGACTCGGGCCTCCACTCGGGCGGAAATGGACGTGATATTCAGGCTCAGATTTCAGGATACGTACCAAAGAGCGAGCACGATGAACAGAATGAATTGACACCAGATTTCTTGGATTGGCTACAACAACCGGATCTTCAGATAATCTGATATCAATCTCGATAGAAGTTTCACACGATCATTCTGCGATCTGAAGGACGATGCGCCCCGAAATATCACCCTTCTCCAACTCCTCATATACCCGAGGCAAATCCTTGAACGGCCGGACCTCGACCACAGGCTTAACAATACCACGTCGTACCATATCAACAGCCTCCATGCATTCCTTCAGCGAGCCCACCAGATTACCCGTGATCCTAAGGCCCTTGATCACAATCGTGCAGATAGGAGTCTCCAAGTTGGGTCTTCCCGGAGGAATACCAACACAACTCAAAGTACCACCAACCCGCAGCATATCACAGGCATGCGCAAAGGCCTTTGCATTACCTGCTGTCACTACAGCAGCATGTGCACCCAAGCCAGTGATCTCTTGAACCCTATTTACGGGGTCCTCGGTGGAAAAGTCGATGAATTCTTGCGCGCCGAGACCTTTGACAAAGTCTCCCTTACCAGGACCAGTGTCGACGCCAATCACCAGAGCCCCTTGAGCTCTTGCATATTGAACTGGACTATGTCAGCGGACTACAGCTCATCTCCCATATTCCCCATAAAAAGGAGAGCCTACCAGCCAAGTGTCCAAGGCCACCTCCGGCACCAACAACCACCAACCAATTCCCAGGACGCACATTCGCATTCAAGACGGCCTAATCGACCATTAATTAACCGAAAACCACACCCATGGACAGCGCATATTGCCAACCTACCTTATACGCCGTCAAACCCGCACAAAGCACCGGCCCCATAACTTTCGGATCGACATCATCAGGCAAAATCGTTAAGTAATCCGCATCGAGCGCGATATACTGCTGAAAAGAGCCATCCTCATGGTGAAGATGATTCGTGCTCGCAACGCAGTACTGCTCTGTACCCGCAAGACAGAACTCGCACCGTCGACAGATGCGGCTCGCGAACCGGATCCCGACCAGCCCGCCCACTTTCAGACCAGCGGCGTGCGCGATATCCGGCCCAAGCGCGAGGATTCGGCCGATGCCTTCGTGGCCGCCCACGTGTGGCAGTTTGATCTTTGATATCGGGTTGCCGTCTGGTCCGGCTGCGGTGCCGGATTTGGTGTGTAGGTCTACTGTGTATTAGACTGGGCCGTTTTAGAGAGATAGGGTCCTGGTGAGAGCGCCAGTCGGACTATGTGAAAGTGTACATACCGCTCTGGCAGACGCCGGTGTAGAGCACTCTGGCCAGGACTTCGTTGCGTCCCGGGATTGGCACGGGGTAGTCTGTTTTGAACTCGACTTGGCCGCCCAGGGAATGGACGAGAGCAACTGTTTGGGTCTGTGGAATGTTGAGGGAGTTCATTATTATTTGGATATTAACTCGCTGAGGAGATATTGGATGGAATATTGTGTTTAGAAGAGATCTGATTCTGGCTATTATGCGGTGAAATGGCTATATTTATATTCACGACCCGAGTCTGACTTGTAATACCAAGGATGGATCGTGGGATGTCGTGCCATCAATGAATTATCTTAATTCTCCGAGTGTACATCGAGTTGGTGCATGTACTATCCTTGAGCGGGGAGGGTCGTTCTGCATTATCAGTTTGTTCTCCAACCCCAGGATGAATACCTGATATAACTGGTCAATGAGGTGAGTTGGTCATGAGGGGAGCTAGACAGCCTATGTACATCCAACCTCTGTAGAGATGTTGATACCAACGAGACAGACTCGGGTAAATAGAGTACTCCAAAAGCCAAGTACCGTTTACTATTGGTAGTCTGATAGATGTGACACTGCATGAAGAAATGCTAATTCTCCGAATCAATTCTCCGTCCTATGCATTGCAGATCTCACCTATAACAGCATATTTACAATAGAAAAGAACAGGATCTGTATGCTCCATTAGGCTTTCCCTTCTTTTTTCATTTCTTGATATGTTACACTTCAAATCGCTACCTAGGTATCTTCAAGCAAATCGGGGTATGTACAATCGCAAATTTCAGTCCGTCCGGAAACGCCATAAACCTCATCAGAAACGCCGAGGTCAAGAAACCAGACTCAAAGCCCCGAACACCATCCCCGACGCACAGCCGAACACCCTGAAGGAAAACAGTTTCCAGCTAGTCGCGCTCAAAGGGAAATCGGGTATTTCATTAAACATTTTCAACATCATCCATATGCACCGCGTGGGCGTAAGACCCTTTCGTAGGTGTGGTTGGTGAATCACCCGCCTCAATATCCCTGCGTGTCCTGTATGCGCGCGGGCTGGAGTTCGGGGTGGTCAGCGGGGTGACGAACAGCTCGCCGTTTTTCTTGCGCATCCAGTGCACGCGTAGGTGATCAAGGGCTGTTTTGAAGTCGTCGAGGATGACTGTGTCGCAGAGGCATTTGAAGATGAAGGATAGCTGGGATGGTTAGTTTTTTTAAAAAAAAAGCAAAAGGAAAAAGGAGAAAAGGAAATCAGATGGCGATGCCGGGATGGGGACGGGAAGCTTACTTTCCAGAACGGCTCGACACCTGTTGGGAGAATGCTGGGAAACGCATTCAGCACGCTGCAGGTATCGACGATCATGAAAATAATTGATAGACACATTGCCGCTAGCATGATCCCGAAGCGTGGGCTCACTACTACTAGCTCCCATAATCCGAAGTTGTATTCGCGTTTGATTGTCCAGAACAAGCTGGCCGTTGTGAAGATCCACCATGGGTCGCTGTATAAAGGATGTTAGGTCGAATGGATTCAAATTGAAGGAGTAGTACTCGATCTTTGGAGAGGGAATGACGAACCGAAATAATGGCTCCATTGGCCTAGTCGTTAGGAAGATCTTATTGATATTGTTGAAGTATGTGAAGTTCGCATAGATCTCCAGTCCCCAATAGGGCCAGCAGAGAACAACAGTGGTAATGTAGATTATGGAGACCTTTCGCGATAGGAATGGGCGGTTCTTCATCCAGGCGATGACATTATGCAGGGCCCAGGAGATGTTGAGACCGATCGCGGTCACGGATAGATACCAGCCGTAGACGGGCTCGTGGGGGAAGATGAAAGTACCATGGGGAATAGCCAGGATGAGCTATAGTCCACAGATTAGTCCAAGTCCCGTTGACCCGGTTGCCTTCGACCTTACCTCAGCGAAGATCAGCTTGTGCAAGAGGATATGTGACTTCATATTGGCGAGAGTGATAAAAGCCATAATGAGTAGACTTCCGACCATCAGACCCTGACCCCAAGCTTCGAGGATCAGGGCATCGGCCTCGGTGGGTTTCGAAATGTGATCGGTAGCCATCGTGGGTTGTGTTCATGTCAATCGCGGGCGGTTGCTGGGGAGTTGTCGTGAGTAAACAAGGTTTAGGCGAATTCGGTAGAAGAGGTGGAGGTGGCGAAAGAGAAGTGTTCTGTCATAGAGATAGAGGGAAGAAATGAAGCGGCAATCTTCAAAGCGAGGTCACAGAAAGAGCCGTCTCTATCTCCCACAGACGGGCAACATTACTAGGGTTCGAAGTGACGGAAGGAAATTGCTCGTTTATTTAATTTCATAAGCAATTAGCGTATTTACGTATTCCTTGTCTGATTTGGCTAATTCAACCCGCAAAAAGTAATTTGCGACGCCACCAGATGGTCTAAGTTCGGTGGCTCGCCAGGGGTCGGAGACCGGGGGGAAGAGAAAGTGAACAACTCGAGATCAAATCCGCAATGCGCAGCGTCTTTACATATTCGGACACGGGGTGTTTTCTTTCTCGATCAAACCATTCCTAACCTATCCGCGTCCTCTGGGGAAACCCCGGGAAAATCCTGGAGAGAGAGTTTTGCCCCCGTGCGGAGACGGAGGTGGCGTTCTGGGGATACGAGCTAGTTTTTTTGGTCTTGTTCTTTTGTTTCGTGTCTTTGATTTGAGACGACATAACAAAGAGAAAGATAGTTCTATTCATAGAAGAAAGATCCAAAGGCGTGTTTCAGGACTTGACACAAAGAATATATCGACACAACGAGCACAAAGAATACAAAGAGTAACGAAATCAGAAAATGAAAGTCCAATGGTCTGACCTTTGTTTTCCCGCTATTTCTCCGTCTCTAACTTGTCTTAGTCACTTGTCGATGCAGCCCTGGAGGCTCAACCCCTGGTTTTATTTAGACCATAATGTTACATACTATTTGAATTTATCCAGAAAATAAATACCCCTACTCCACGCGTTCATATTGCTATTTACCCCAGCACATGCATGCAGTCCCCGAGGTCCCCATGAGGTCTGTGCTATTAGCCCTTTGCCGGGTATACCAGACTTATCTCTTTCTAAATAGCCAGTATACGATAATATAATGGAATGCAGCGAACGCCAAGAATATGTGCTATCTAATATTTGCAATTGTATAGGGAATGGCCCCAGGCATCATTAAATTGAACAGCATGAAGTCGCGTCAACCACTTTCACACGCCTACGAAGAATAAGTAGAATTAGGCACTTAATAGGCACCTAACCATAGATCTCGTTTGACGTTTTAGCCGAATACCCGCCAATCCTGCGATTACCCGTTCTGCGCGGAATGTCCACCCGTGAACTCTATACCCGTTTGATATAAGAGTACATACGCGGCCGACTCCTTAACAACGTATGACGTTAATAGTCTGATTTATTTAGCTTAAGGTGAGATAAGGGATGATATATAAGATAACACTTCGATGTCTTTCTTGTACGTCCTTTCTAAATTCTTTTTAGATGTCTTTCCTTTGTTTCGGTGTTATAGAAGACACGCCAGGCTTATCACTTTACACTATACAAAGGTAAAATCAAAACCCATCCCTGATAACGTCTGCCTTAGGATGAATGCTCCAGTCCCTTGGCGTTTGATACGTCAAGGCAATGTTCACTCCTCGGTACATATTCCTGTGGAAGTAATACTTGATACTTCACGATGTTGACCGTCGACATCTTGAAGTCGTGGAAGGCAGGAGAGAATAAGGGAAATGGATAAAGAACTATGTCAAATTCCCAAATTCAGTTGGTTCAACAACAGTCTCACTTTTCAACAAACCATGCATTTCGACATCACTTCGTAGAGCTCTCTCTTTGACAAACCGACTTTCCATTAAGCGTATTGGCTCTCAACTTCTATACATCTCCGGAGTAAGTCTTGCTCTAAACCATTAGAAATTGTATGAAGGGTTTGATTGGGAATCACTTGGTTTGAGTGACTAAAGTATCATACCCTCAACCGAGTATAGAGTATGAAGTAGGCTATAGAGTAGGTCGTAAACCGGAAGAAACTTATCCTAGACCAACGTCACTTCTTTACCTCCTTTGTAAGTAAGAACAAGTGACAATACGATGCAAATATTTCAAAAGTATCCCGCAATGGAAATTCTTGACATGAAATGTATTAGCTCTGGTTTCCCTCAGTCATAGTCGAAAAATGTATATACCTCTAAACAACATGCCCGTTGCCGCCACAGCTGCCGGCAATTTGCCGGTAATTCCCACATGAAACTTGCACGTGGAAACCGCAATTGATCGTCATGCTGATCGTTAAAATTCAAGTCTTTACTGTTGTCGGACGACTATCCTATTTTGATTGGTGATATTCTCACTACGATGCATACCATCTTGTTGGTTCCCGCGCCGTGGTCAATTACACCGGAACATGCCTTTTGCAATGAACACTGCATACCATGCTTTATAAATTGGGTGAAATTTCTACATGTGGAGAAATGACGATGGTCATTTATTCATAGTCCCACGTGGTGATTAACCTGGTTGGGCAATGGCTTCATCGCAACCCACTCGGCTCCGCCGGTGGAAGGGTAATGATCTTCAGGGTTTGCGTTTCCTGAAGGCTTGTTCTTTTAACTGAAAGAGATTCCTACCATGTACAGATCAAACCATATCTTATCGATCACTACTGCAGTCATTCTTTTATTTTACCGGTCCTTCGTTAAGCTATATTGCCCACGAGGATAATCCTGTATAGCCTTTCTTTTCTAGATCTTCGATCGATATGGCTCCGTGGTGGTACACAGCAGGCAGCGCCCTGGTTCTGTCTCTTCAGGCGGCTGCCTGGAACTATTCAACTTACAGTTCGACAGAATTCCAGCCGCCAAAGCTCGAAGTCAGCAAGACCGGAACTACCCATCCCGGCTACATCTTCCTCGGTCCTCGTGGAGACGTCCAGGACGCTGGCTCCGCTGCGCTCATTTACGATGATGCGGGTGACTTAGTGTACGAAGGCCCTGAACAGGTGACTGCCAACTTCAAGGTACAAAAGCTCTTCGGCAAGGATGTTATCACCTTCTGGGCCGGAGACATGATGTCCATCGGTTATGGTTATGGAACCGTGCACATCCTCGACGATACCTACAAAGAGATCTACACTGTTCAACTGACAGGCAACTTTGTCACTCCGGACGGCTCAAGCAAAGACTCATACTGTGACATGCACGAGAGCCAAATTACTTCCCGCAACACTCTCATTTGCACCGCCTACAACGTCACTCAACATGACCTGACTTCCATCAACGGTACCTCCTCCCAGTGGATGCTGGACAGCCAATTCCACGAGATCGATATCCCTACCAACCAGGTTCTGCACTCATGGAGTGCACTTGACCATGAAGCTGACATTCCCCTGACCACCTCCCGCCAGGGTCTCGGAAAGGATGTGGGTACTCAGGATGCTCCCTATGATGCCTATCACATCAACTCCATCGCCACCACCAACCATGGCTATCTTGTCTCGCTGCGTCACATGTGGTCGGGCTACTATGTGTTCCAGAACGGCAGCGTGATGTGGCAGTTGAGCGGCGAGGACGGCGCCGACTTCAAACAGATTGGCAATGCCGAATTCTCATGGCAACACGATATGCGCGTCTACAACGAGACTGACAACGGGCTCATCCTGAATCTGTTCAGCAACGCCAACACTCCAACTGACGAACAGTCCGAGAGTACCGGCATCAGCCTGGCCATCGACCTGGACAAGAAGACAGTTACCGGTCTCCGCTCTCTGGCTGACCCCAACGACCCCATCCACTCCGTCAGCCAGGGCAGCTACCAGCTTCTCAGCGAGGTGGACAGCCATGTCTTCCTGGCCTATGGCTCCATTTCCAAGGTCAAGGAGTTCGATGGTGAGGGTAACGTCGTTTTCAGCGCTCAGTTCGGCGACGACAACGCTGTTGCATCTTACCGCGGATACCGTTGCCAGTGGACTGCCACTCCCTTTTGGAAACCCTCCGCGTCAGTCAAGCGTACTAGCTCCGGTGCTACTGTCTACATGAGCTGGAACGGCGCTACCGAATATGACAACTGGGTCGTCTACGCCGCTTCCTCTGCCACCGAGAGCAACAACACTCAGATCGCCACCTCCAAGCGCACTGGCTTCGAGACTTCTGCTACTCTCGTCGACCCTCCTACCAATTTTGTTCAGGTCGTCGCTCGTAAGGGTACCACTGTTCTCAGCACCTCGGAGATTGTTTCATTCTAAGTAGGTGGTAACTGACCCTTACCCTTCCTATTCAGTCTGGAGAGGTGGCTTGGTCACACATATTAGATCATTGCTTTCTTCCTGTACATACTTGATATCATATTCTGAATATACATTTATCTTCATGGCACATCTTGATCTCAAGCAAGATTCCAAGAGCCGGAAACCTGCCACGCATCTAGATAGAGTGATGATATTTGGTTACATCTAGATCTCAGTCAGCCATGTCAATCTTTAGACATTATAGCTGACCACCGGGCAGGTGAAATAAGGTAGTGATATTCCTAGGCCCTCCGCGTCTGAATCAGAGTATGGTGTGACGTCCATCAAACTTCTCGTATGCTGCACAGGACGGTTAGGTCTGTCTCACCTTTTTCTCTAACGGATGTTGGACATGTCGTCGAGGATGTCACAGATGAGCGACCGACCTTTTTGGCGTGCCACATGAACCACCCTCAGTTTGTTTGTTCCCTTAAATTTATTTTCCGTAGCAGTGCCTTCTGGGAGGGGCTTACACCTCCATCGTCGGTTGCAGAAGTTCTTTATCTGACATTCCTCGGTTTCAAACTCAAAAGAATTCTCCGTGTGGGCTCGGCTATAAAAATCTCACATTCTTCAGAAAGAAAGAAATGTCTAGAACGCCACAATTGCCCTGCCACAGAGTTTTTCCATTTTGACCATGTCTGTGCTTTCAGGTAGCATCTACTTACCCAGAGTGTGTCATGCCGTCGACGGGTGTAACTGACTATAAAGGTTGCCGAAGAAGCGTAATCCTTATTAGTCTGCTATTTATATGTGCTTGTTTTTCATTATTATTGTTATACCCGGAGCTAGCGGACTAGTCACATTCTTCAATGTCCTCAAACACAAAATATCCGATGGTGTCTTCTCATCCTATCCTTGGTATACTGTATAAAATTGAAGGCCCATGCATTCCACGCTGCGACTTGAGAATCCAGGAATCAGTCCTGTCAATTGTCCAATCTTTCTCAGGGGATACAAAGTCGCCATAGGCACAAAATAGGGAAATAATGACATTCTTCATATGTTTCTGTTGAACAATCGGATAGTTCTAACTTGGCTACTACATTATGGTAGTTTCACGCCCCTTCATTTGGCGGCACATCTACATTGCACAGCATGACTCTAATTTCAGGATTCATAGCAAGTGGAAGCACCTTGCCGCGGGGAATTAGACCCAACGGCCTAGACTCGTAGTGCAAGACAGCAACTGGAATGATACCAGATATAGGAACAAAAACGCCTATATAAAGCCCTCCCAATCCCCGATTCTGACACGAGACATAACCAAGACCAGAGTATTCCAACAGTCCTACAATCAACCAAGATGTATCTCTCAACTATCCTCCCCCTCCTCTCGCTCACCACTCTCGCCCTCTCTACCCCAACAATCCACAACAACCACCTGGGCCCAAGAGTCATCCCTTACCGCGCCTTCCCCTCCTCCTCAAGCAGTGGCCTATTGATACCAAGCAGCACGCCAGCACCCGTGCACCGAAAACTAGGCCATGCTATAGTGCACAACAACTGCGAATTCCCAGTCTATCTCTGGTCCGTGGGCTCGACGGTCCTACCGGAGCAAACCCTTCTCCCCAATGACGAGTACAACGAGGTCTTCCGCGAGAACCCAGACACTGGCGGCATCGCTATCAAGATCAGCACCGACCGTGACGGGCTGTATACTAGTTCTCCGCAGATGATCTTCGCGTACAATCTTTCCTCTACGAAGGAACGCGGCGAGAGACAGGATAAAGTGTGGTACGATCTCTCTGATGTCTTTGGGGATCCGTTTGTGGGTTATCCCGTTAATCTTACGCCTGCTGAGCCGTTGATCTCTTGGAAGGATGGGGTTCCGCCCGCTGGGAGTCAGGTGAGGGATGTTGATGCTTCGAGGGATTTGGTTCTGGCGCTTTGTTGAGAGGCTGGGGTTAGTTTGGGGGTGAGATGAGGATGGGAGTATGAAAATGTTTAGGGATTGTTATGGTCTTTTGTATGCGTGCGAGTTGGATACGTTAGTGCTCAATTGAACTAGTCGACTTTTTTGTGTTTCATTGCTATGCAACTGCTGTAAGCATTCTTTGCGTATCACGGAGGATATATAGGGTACATTAGATGTCATGATCGGCGGGTTTCAACCTCGGCTGTAGGATATAGAAGGATTGGATTCTGGTTTCTCCAAAATGGGGAAACTTACGAGAATATAACTAGTTAGTCATTAAAGAGCTTGAATAATTTCCCCAAATATGGGAGTAAGAGGGAATAACAGAGCGTGCAGAGCCAAAGAGACCTCGGCCTGAAGTCCGGGGCATTTCCCCGCATTTTCTCCAATTTGTCCCACATTTAGTCTCTTTAGTCTCTGGACCTTTTCTTTACTTCAACTTGACTTCCTCTCTTCTCATCTTACTCTAGAGGAATACATACACATAGCAATGGTTTCTCCAGCAATCAGGGTCGCCCCCTCAGCAGCCAATCGTGCATTGAACTTGCTACGCACAGTACAATACACCCACCCACCCAACTGCCCGTGCCACAAAAACCCCAACCACCACCACAACCACCAGCAAACCCCGTCTCTGCTCAACCATGTGAAGCGTCGCATGTCTACACCCGTGGACCGCTCGCGCGAGAAGGAATATGCCTTTGAGATGGCGGCGTCTAGCATTCGCTTCGGACCTGGCGCAACCAAGGAGGTCGGAATGGACTTTACCAACATCGGCGCTAAGCGCGTGTGCATTGTCACTGATTCCAATGTGGCCAAGCTTGATGCTATGAAGCAAGCTGTGGAGGGTCTTACCCGTGAGGGTATTCAGTTTACTATCTTTGACAAAGTTCGCACTGAACCCAAGGATAGCTCGTAAGTCAACGCCGAGCTTCAAGCAGGCTGTTGTATAGATACTAACATTTCGAATTAAGTATAAAAGAAGCTATTGCTTTCGCTAAGCCTTATAAACCCGATGCCTTCCTGGCTGTCGGTATGTCTCCCTTACCCCATGGTATACACAAACTAACACCAAAACAGGCGGCGGCTCCGTAATCGACACTGCCAAACTGATGAACCTATACACCATCTTCCCGGAAGCTGACTTCCTCGACTTTGTCAACGCCCCCTTGGGCAAAGGTCTCCCGGTAGACAGACCCCTCCTCCCACTCATTGCCGTCCCAACAACAGCAGGCACAGGCTCCGAGACCACAGGGACAGCGATTTTCGACCTAGTCTCAAAGAAAGCCAAAACAGGCATCGCCCACCGAAACCTAAAGCCAACCCTCGGAATCTGCGACCCGCTCAACACTCGCACCATGCCCTCAGCCGTACACGCTGCCTCCGGCCTCGACGTCCTCTGCCACTCCCTCGAATCCTGGACCGCAATCCCATACAACGAGCGCACCCCGCGCCCAACAAACCCCATCAACCGACCGGCCTACCAGGGCGCAAATCCCATCTCTGATATCTTCTCCCTGGCCGCCCTGCGCTCAACAGTCAAGTACCTGCCGCGCGCAGTCCGCGACCCAGACGACCACGAAGCACAGTCGGAGATGCTGCTCGCGGCTACGCTCGCCGGTGTCGGGTTCGGCAATGCAGGTGTTCATCTCTGCCACGGTATGAGTTACCCCATATCCAGCCAGAACCCCGGATATAAGCATGCGGGCTATGAGGTCGATCACCCAATTATCCCGCACGGTGTTTCCGTGGCTGTCACCGCGCCTGCTGTCTTCCGCTTTACCGCGGCGTCGAACCCTGATCGCCATCTTGCGGCGGCTGAGGCGTTTGGTGTCGATATCTCGAATGTTAAGCGTGAGAGTGCGGGTGAGGTGCTTGGCGCTGCTATTGCGGAGTTCCTTGCTAGGCTTGGTGATCAGCCGCGTGGCTTGAAGGATCTAGGCTTCAAGGCTGCGGATTTGGAGGGGTTGGTTGAGGGGACTATTCCGCAGCAGCGGGTGCTTATGCTTGCGCCGAGCTTGAGTAAGGAGTTGGAGGCTGAGAAGGGTGAGTTGAGGAATTTGCTGGAGCAATCTTTGGATTATTAGGGTCATGTTTTTTTTTTTGAAGAGGGGTTTTAAATATGATTGCATCTGATGTTTCTATATACGCTGATATGATGCGTCAGAATTGGGTATCTGAGTTTCTTTCTTTGTCCATGTTGGGGAAGGAAAGTAGTGTAATGTTGTGTAGCAGGCAAGTTATCCTAGACCGGCTAGGAGTAGATATCTCTTCGTATCACATTTCATGTCAATATCGACTATTGCAAGTGCATAATTGGTGAGTTGTCCATCTGTACTGAATCACTCGGGTCATCATCTGGGACGACCTTCGCGCCGAGGACACCCATCGACGAAGCTATGCGATCCAACCAGATCACAGCGCGGGGGTCATGTGGATCAGAGGTCTTAGACGGACCCTGTCCAAGCTCTGAATGAATGCGAAAGGGGAGGGCGAAGCTCTTCGACTTCGCAGAACAGGGGGATACGGGATATTCATTACCACTGCTGGGTGGGGTGGCGACAGACGACACCGGCGAACAATCCTCGACAATCTCAAAACGTAACCGGTCTTCAAGACGGTCGGAGAGCTGCTGTAGCGTCTCTAGCATATTTTCCGCTCCATTGAGGAGCAGCGATGGACCGGTATCCGGAAATGTCTCTGGTACAGGCCCGACGAAGGATCCGGGTCGCTGGACAATACCTTGCTGGCGCTCACTGTGCGCGCTGATACAGGAACGGAGCTCTGTGACGAGCGAGCGCAGCTGACGGGAAGTGTCATTTATGCGCCCAATGAGATTTTTTATGGAATTTGAGTCTGGTTCGGCCGGGACTGAAAGGAGATCTCGAGTCTCGCTGATATACCGCGGGCATTTGGCGATTTCCATGAAAGCCAGATCGGATATTTCTCCGTACGCGGACCACTCGCCGGGTTTTTGGCAGTCTTCGGTCCGGACTTTCGTCGCGTAGGATTGCCATTCTTCTTGGTCTAGGAAGCAGGGTTTGCCTTCATAGACAGCTGTGGCGATGAAGAAACCGCGGAATGCAATCCAGCAGTATCTTCCGAAACCAGACTCGTGCGCTTCTGGGCCTCGGCTTATCATCAGTCGCTTCGCGCCGTCGGAGTGCACGACCCAGGCGTCGGGCGTGGTCTGCGCGTACATCTCGAAGACACTGAGGATGATAGATGTGCATAGCATGTTGTCAGATTTAGCATGGTCGGCTTTTGGAATGGCCTGAATAACCTCATGCAGTGACTTGGAGTACATTTGTCGACTTGCTTTGAGGAGAGCCTTATCTTGAGTTAAGTGTGCTAAATAGACGGAGCTTAAGCAGCAAACCGCGGAGTCGAGATAAGCATCATTGCCAAAATTCATGACGATATATTCGGCGAACCCGGGCGCATCGCCAGATCGGAACCGATTATGATAATAGAGGGTCGGAAACGACGTGCTGATGAAGTCGAGGAATAATTGTGGCTGTGCAGCACGGAAAGACTTGCGTACAAGCGACGGCGACACCTTTTCATCCCAGCTACCCAAGGAAGAGTGTCGGCGCATGAGGGCAATCGCATTGCCACGCACTACGTCTGCGGCGATAGTGGAGTCACAGTATGTAGGTGTCGTTCGGTCATTTGTGGTTGAAGATGTAGCCGAGACGCGTGTGCCTGCCAATGTGCCTCTCCTCTTCCGTCGCGTGTTGGACCGATGTCGCCGAGCGAGGTTGGGGCCTTCGTCTTGGAAGCGGAAGGTTCGCCTGTAGCCCGGACAGGCGCGACCATATTTCTGGCACTGGGTGCACTCTGGGACTGCCTCGTCGCACTAGAGACTATTAGCCCGAGAGCTCGACCTTATTTGGATGGATATCGACCTTGATCCGTCGCTCGCGACACAGGGCACAGCCTGTACTGTGCGGAACTCCCACCATGGTGTCGTCAAGGTCGAGAAGATGTCATCACGGGGCAGATGAAAGGCTAATATGGTTCATGTGCCCATTTTTCGGGTTCAGGATTCATCAATCTGAGCAGAGTCGAGGAGAACCGAGTAGAGTCGATTTGAGGGGGGAAATTGAGAGACTGTCAGCCCTAGGACGGACATTCTTACACGTTGAGAACATCTTGCCAAGAAAATCCTCAAAATGGGCGGGGAAGACAAGCCGGACAAGCCGTTTCAGATTTCGAATCTATATTCTATCTTTCACTTACATTTCGCTTACATTTTCAATCAATTGAGCCTTCAATTTATCGTCATATAACTCCCAGTTTATGAATCATTATCTTTTCTCTTTTAAAATTATTCAGTTACGGGAGCTTGCAGCGTCACCTGGGCTCGGAGAAATATAGACCTGGCAGGATCTTCCCAACATTTCGCCCCCATTTACTATTTATAAACTGCGAGAAATGCCCCTGCAGATAGTCAAATCTAAAACTCCACACGGCTCTCCCACCACGCATTGTCAATGGCCAACTAGTACGAGTCGGAAAAGCCTTGGTAGTCTTGCAACAGTATAGTCGTTTGGAGGGTCACTCAATGGGTCGTGGATCAAGAATACCAGGTTTTCATTCGTCAAGGGAGAATGCCGGGGCAATCCTGCAAGTCTCGCATCCTTTTATCCGAGATGTGAGTATGTGAGGCTTCCCTGTGTCCTCTTGGCCGATCCGGGAGTATATATGCCTTTGCTTTCCTCGTTGAGCACCTGAGCCGAGCGAGGATTTTGAGAGGATTTTGAGAGGATTCGAGTCTGTTTTTATCGGACGATTGGTGATCTTCTAGGGCGCCACCCGGTCCTAAAAACGGTGCCTATTCAATGGAAAGCGATTGAAAACAAGGTCATAGTTGAAAGGGAGATGATCTAGCCCTGAACAAATGACATTGCTGTCTAGTGGAATAGGAATGAGGGCGCAAGTATGACAAGACAGGATGGGCATGTTGAAGTCCAATGGGGTTGCCTTGGCATAACAGTCCATCGTCCTGGAAGTACCTTGAAGACGATCGTCTCCAATCACCGTGGTGGTACCCCGCGTTCTGTGCAGATGGTACGTATTTCGTATGGAGGATGATTGGCAAATGGGAACAAATGTGAGGGCGCGCCTGCCGCGGGGAGTAATACAATGGCTTAACCTTGGAAAATTGGCCGGTCTTTGTCTTCCCCCTCAATCGAATAAACTCAATCACAATGCCTCTTCTCAGAGCGTCTCGTCCCAAGGTCTTGGTGCCAGAGAAGCTGTCGCCAGATGGACTGGCTCTTCTGCGCAGCTCACTGGATGTCCATGAACGAAAAGGTCTCAGTGCCGATGAGTTACTCCAGATAATACCCGATTACGATGCCCTTCTCGTTCGCTCCGAGACCAAAGTCACCGCGACTGTGCTTCAAGCTGCAAAGAACCTAAAGGTTGTAGCGCGTGCTGGTGTTGGAGTTGACAATGTTGGTATGTTTGGATCTTGCTCCATGCTGGGGTGTGTTTATTGAATGGTGCATAGATGTCGGAGAAGCCACAAAGCTCGGAATCGTGGTCGTCAACTCACCTTCGGGGAATATTGGCGCTGCAGCCGAGCATACAATCGCATTGATGATGTCCATGGCGAGAAAAATCCCCGAGAGCTGTGCTAGTCTCAAAGATGAGAAGTGGGAACGAAGTAAATTCGTCGGCGTGGAAGTCAAGGGGAAGACATTGTCGATTATTGGTCTGGGAAAAGGTAACTATCCCTCAATTGGCTTGGTTTTGAAACATGATTTGACCGTGCATTATACTAGTGGGATTGACAGTTGCGCGACTCGCCAAGGGCTTGGGCATGAATGTGAATGCCCTCGATCCATATGCATCCCCGGCAGTTGCGGCTTCGGCTTCGGTCGCCCTCGTATCCTCGCTCCCGGAGTTGCTCGCATCTGCTGATTTTCTCACAATCCATACGCCACTTATTGCCTCAACCCGAGGAATGATTGCGGAAGCTGAACTGGCACAGCTGAAGCCAGGTGCCCGCGTACTAAACGTAGCCCGGGGAGGCACATTTGATGAGGAAGCACTGCTCGCGGCACTGGAATCAGGCCATCTTTCTGGTGCAGCTATTGATGTGTTCACATCAGAGCCCCCTGCTCCTGATTCGTCTGCGGCAAGATTAATCGCCCACCCACGAGCAGTCGTCACACCGCATCTTGGAGCCTCGACAGTAGAGGCACAGGAGAACGTTTCAGTCGACGTGTGCGAACAGGTGCTTGAAATCTTGCAAGGATCGTTGCCGCGCAGCGCTGTCAATGCTCCTCTCATCCTGCCCGAGGAATACAAAAAACTGCAGCCCTTTGTACGTCTGGTCGAGAAACTGGGCAGCCTCTATACTCAGCACTATGCAGCTTCTCCTGGTGGAGCAATGGGCAGGAACACATTTGATCTGATCTATCAAGGCGAGCTGGCTAGTATCAACAACACGAAGCCGCTCTTCGCCGCCTTGATTAAGGGCCTTCTTGCTCCTATCAGCAGCATGGAGGGACTCAACATTAATATTGTCAACGCTGAACTGGTGGCTCGCGAACGTGGCATCTTCGTCTCAGAGCAGCACTCCCGCGACCCGTCGGATCACTCGTCCTATTCGTCCCTAGTCACTCTTGTCGCACGTCCACCTTCTCGGGCATCGTCTCGAGCTCCGACTTCCGACGACAACTCCACTGGGTCAATTTCAGACCAAAATCAGCGAATTATTTCTGGGACCTGCTCCGGTGATCAGCCACTTATCACTCGCCTGGGTCGATTTGAGGCTTCTTTTGCGCCAGAGGGAACCCTATTGATCTGCGAGAACTATGATTCACCGGGGAAGATTGGTGTTGTGGGTAACATTCTTGGTCAAGAGGGTGTCAATATCAATTTCATGGCTGTTGCCCCTGTGTCACCGAAGCTGGCTATCAATGAAAGCCTGAAGAAGTCTCTTCCCACAGATGAAAACTCTCAAGAACCTGCTGCAAAGGGTCACTCACTGAAGGAAGCCCTGATGATTCTCGGTATTGACAGAGGGGTTCCTGCTCACGTTACTGCTGCCTTGGCTAAGGAAACTGGAATTCTGAGTGCGTGCGCTGTCACCCTTTGATTCTATGTCTGTGCACTGCTCCTTGGTGAATGTTGCCGGACGTTCAGAGCCAAGGAGGGATTTCTTTCGGTTATAATTACTCAACGCCTTTGGAGCTGTCTTTCAACCACAGCTTGCCTACTTATCTCTCTACTTTCTTGAATACATCCATGGCTATATCAGGTGAAGCGTTAGACAAACATCGATAATGCTACTTGAACAAGGATCCAGTCCATAATCAATGAATCCATCCCTCCATAGTACCACTCGTTAGCTAGAAGCTTCAATAGGATACGCATAAATACATAACGTAACAGTAATAAATGTAAAAGGGTCTACATGGATATCCAGAATCAGAAATGAGACGTTTTAGCAACTGCCCACAATATGTTAGGAGGATCCGCATCCTCCGCCTCAGATCTTCAAAAGAATGACGTTAAAACCGAGTACAATTGTTTTATTCTACACTATGAGGTACTTGTCTTTGGAGTGCTTACCCCATTACGTCTTCGAATCTCAAGGAATATTTCAGCGTCTGACGTACATATGGAGAGAGTGCCTCTTACACGGCGTTAGTTAGGGCTTGGCTATGCTGGATGTATCTGCGAGGCCAATGAAGCCATGACAGCCGGTCAAGACTGAGTCTTGAATCTGCACCGAATGAGACGCTCTCAATACGGCAAACTTCCGGTTGTGCCAGTCCAAGCTCCTCCACTCCTTCCCATGGCTCACAGTAAAGTCGGGGTCATATTCCGGACGCATGAAATAGACGAGGGAGAATTTGGTCTGGTCTCAAGTGTCAGGATGAGGCACAACACGGTGCAGGAATGAACGGAGACCGCCTCTCGAAACGGCGGCCAACGAGTCTCCCACGTTTGTGATCGCGTGCCCGGGTTTGGTAGCAATGTACGTTATTTTTGAATAATACGCTAAAATTACTAAGGTTGTTTTCAAACGACCGTCGTTTAATGATCTATGTATTATAGTATTAAACCGCAAAAAGAAAAGAAAAGAAAAGAAACCCTCGTTCGACCGTCTCCTAGAACCCCATTCCTCCCGTAATGTAGATATCAAAATCGGTAATTCCCGATTAGGAAGCCGTTTCAAGATATCTGAAAAAAGACATTTAGAAGACATTTAGGAAGAACATATAAAAAGGATATCCAGGGAGTGGTATTTTACCTATAACGTCCCTTATATCATCTTGAGCAAGATAAGTCTAGCTGAGTATAAATACTTCTTCCCTTCCCTTTTCCTCTCTATTTCAATCCTTCCTTCCCTGTCTAACAATAAATATCCACTTCCTTCAACTTCATCTCTTTTCTAGTACTCCCTTCCTCTATATCCCCTAAGGTATGTGTACCCTCTTTCCTGCTTCACTCTCTCGAGTCTTCCTTATTCGACATGTCCTACATATCCTTTTTCTCCGAAGTCTGCCGATCGCTCATTGATCATGAGCTCACTGCATTTCAATCGAGACCGACTGTTGAGTGGAGCAACGTATTGTTTCATCTCCTCCTTACCCTTGACTTTCCTCTCGCTTCCTACGTTGCTCTTGGAGTAAGACCTCAGCAGTGATTATGTATGAACTATTGGCTGATTCAAATCTTGCAGTAAAGGCCAGAGAGATGCTCAATCTCAGCCCCAAAAATGCCAACTCTTTGAGGGGCAACTCGGCACCCAGGGAACGGAACTGCGGGAGCTGCGAGCCATACTCCCGAGATCGGTGGCCGCAACTCATCATGTCATATTGAGTTTTTCTCTTTTCTTTCTATTCTCCTTTCTCTCCTTCTGCCAACGATGGCAGATAATGAAGCTGCCGGTGCTAGGGGGGATCGCCTCCCATTGAGGCCAAGCGAAATCGGGCCCAACAATGCCCGCAACAGGGCAATGAAGCGTAAGCGCCGAGAGGCGCTGGCCCAACGTGAAGAGGCTGTAGGCTCTACTATATGCCAAGATAGGATCTGATACTGACTGAAAAAAAAATAGGCTGCCATAGAGGCTCGGCGTCGTGAGCTGGAAACAAAGCTGATCCATGACCATGTGCAGCTCCAAGTGCAGGCACAACTCGCCGTAAGATACTATCCCCTACTATACCCATTGGAGTGATGGCGTATCCGGACTGTAGTTGACATAGATGATAGGAAGAGTTTGGCGTTAGGGCGACTAGAGGCGGGGGTGCCCGTGCCCACGGCGATAACGTTCGTGGTGGCTCGTTCCGCGCCCGTGGCTCCCGTGGGATAAGAGGACGTGGTGTTGCTCGCGGTAGATGGGGTCTTCAGTGGAGTGCTCATGGTAGCCGTGGCCGTGGGCATGTTGCTTTCCACGAGGCCGAAGCGAACCCTATCCACCCCGAGGCCCTCGTCGCCGGAGCCCCCGCCCTTGTCGCCAACAATTCCCATTGTCGGTGCGGGCGGCGCTGCTGCGCCCGTTGTTGACACTCCCGGCCCCGTTGTGCTCGTTGCCGGTGGCCCTATTGTGTTGCCGGTCCGCTCTGCGGACCCACCTCCAGCAGACAACGAGCATTCTATCCACCGACCGAGGATCCATTACTAATAATAATCTCCTATAGTTATAGAAGAAATTGATTACTTTGATGATGAGGAGTGATTTTTGTTTTCTTTTGGTTTTGTTCTTGTCTTGTTCTTATTCATTTTTTTGTCCCATTTTTATTCATATGTATTTTATTCTTGTCCTTGTTCTCGTTCTCCTTCTTGTTCTTTTGTTATTGCTTGCTATAACATGAATTGTTCTTTCGAGCCCTTCGGGGCATACCAGCATTGTACAGCCTGCTGGCAACTACTCTCAAGTGCAGAATGAAGAACCCTACTACTACTAAGTGACATCCGCACAATTCAAAACAGTGATAAATGTATAAAGTATCTATATCCAGAATCACAAATGAAACGTTTTAGCAACTGCCCGCAAATATGTTAGGATTATCCGTATCCTCCGACTTAGGTCTTTAAAAAAATCTTAATATAAATCTGATAACGCTCTAAGCCTTTAATGTCGGTAGTCTATCGTTCTATAGCCTTTCTTGACAAGTTTATATGATAATCTAATGAAAAAAGACTTTTCTTCTTCCTGTTACGAAGGTTATAGTAAGTGGGTTTTGAACCTACTTACGTCTAGGCTTAGTATTTCATTACGTATCTATAGGGATGGAAGATAGAAGCTTTGCACTTCACTTCAGGTATTATTTGTATGGTATCAATTGATCTATAAGAGATCATTATCTTCTTTGTTACACAAAGTATAAAACGAGCAGTATCCAACATTGAAGACTTAGGGCTTTTCAGAAGACATGAATATGAAAGATTTTGTCGCCCTACCGAGAAACATTTGCCCGAGCAAGTGTGGCCGAGTGGTTAAGGTATGCAAGGATTCTTGGTTTTGGTTAACCGAATCTATCTGACAAGATTAACAGGCGTCAGTCTTAAGATATTATATGAGATCTGATCTCGAAAGGGTCGTGGGTTCGAACCCCACCGCTTGCATTTTTCCGCTTGTTTTTACATGCCAATTTTACCTGTCCTTTTTTCCTTCTTTTTTCTATGGCTGCTCTGGAGTAAACCGAGCTATATATGGGAAGTTGCAGACGAAGGCCGGGTTCAAGATGATAGGCTGTATGCCTATTTTGCGGCCATCAGATGAAGGTTCGACGGACACCTTAAACAAATATCGATCCTTGGGACGTGTAGCTTTTGTCACTTGCGAGGAGGGCTTGAGCTATAAGTTGATATCCAAAAAAAGACCCGAAAATTTTGACCATAGGGTAGTCGGCGTACACCCTCTCAATAAAAGATTGCAAGTCTGTAATCTAGTACAACTTTTCATATACTGCTGCTGCTGCTCCGGTGACCAGATTTGCGTCGACAGGTCCTGGGAAGCCGGGGGGTTGATTTTCCGTCGGCGACAAAGGCCTGACTCGTAAGGACCCGAGATGTGGAAATGAACCCCCGACAACATCGAATGCAGTGATGTGAACATCTAGAGACATTCTGTGTTGGCGGTATTCGCTTGCATTTATGCGGTTTGCGGCCGCAGTGAGAAGGGACTTAAATTGTGAGCTGTACAATCCTCGTTTAGCGTAGACACGGTAGCAAGGAATGTTGGTGTTAAGGACAGCAATATGTAAACGATGGACAGAAATGTTTAACTAAGCAGACTATGGAAAACCGAAGAAGAGGAGAGAGAATGTACAGATCAAGCAACGAACGACTTTCCATTTGTCATTTCGTCGGATGAGGTCCGAAATACTCGGGACAGATGGCCGACAGATCTATAGCGTAATAGTCACACGTCGGCCAAAGCTCATTACAGTATCAGTACCTTTTAGAACATATCGCGACGGAGAGAACGATGTTACTTCTCAAGCCACATGCAGATCCCCAATCAGATCATGCATATAAGATCTCGGACAAAGAGGGCTCTCCCGCATTCACAGCGGCTGGTCGGAAATACAACGATCGCTCCTTCGAGAACTCCGCAACTCATCCGGTTACCGCTGTTTTTCAAATCCTTTGGTAGGGTCGTCATCTTAACAGAGAGCAAAATCAGCGGCACAACAATAGCGAAGGCGACGCCGAAGTTGACTTGGAATGGCATCAACTTGATCTTCTCGTTTCGGCGCAGCTGAAGGCAGAAAAAGTGAGGAAGATAAGCAGCTTATGATGACGGTTAAGAGACATAGCGAGGCGTTGGCCTTCTTTGATGCTGTGGACGGTGACAGGAGGCTGAATTGCGCGAGAGCATTATTCACAACGAAAGGTTGGCTTTGAGGAAAATGAAGTGCGGAGCAGGCCATCCCTGCCTTGGGCCACATTATGAGTCCTGGTGTGGATATTTCACTAGTAAGACGAGGCCTCGGATTTTACCTGAGAGATATCAGCTAATCTATAGTACGTGACGGTAATGGCGGTCATTGTGTCTGACTGGTTCTTTGGATCGGGTTAAGCGGTGGCAGAGACCGTTGATTTTTATGAAGATACGAGGGGCTGTTGATTATAGATCTGATAAACAAGTGTTGAGATGCCGCTAGACATACGACGAACAAATCCATATGCAGCTCTCCGCAGGCACAAGATAAATCATCGACCAAAAACTGGATTGTCCAACCACGCACTGATCTTGGCTAAAGCAGAAACATCATGCTCTTCTTTCGACGTATTGTGGTCCTTGATTGCTCCATCTATCCACCCGTGAGTCCCTCTAATATGCTTCAAATAGGTTCCAATAGGCTGACATCCGCCAAAATCAATCAAAACAGGCATGCCTTCTTTGCTCACAAGAATGTTGTTCGGAGTCAGGTCGTTGTGGGCCAATCCACGTGCATGAAGATGACGGAGAGAGAACTCGAGGGCAGCGATGAAAGACCGTTTTTCAATTGTCCCGACTTGGTTCTTGAGATAACTGTACAGATCGTGTGGATGTTTGTCGAGGACGATCCCGATGAAGTACCCACGGATAACCCGACAGCCATAATACCGGATTATGTTCGGGTGAAGGTGCTGGGACAGCGACTGTAGAACTTCAGCCTCTGCTAGCAAGGCTGCTGAGAGTTGGGACAATGCGTTGTGTTCCTTCATCACTTTGTACATTCGTGGATCCGGTCGCTTGATGTACAAATCTCCGATCAGTGTCGCCGGGGCTTGTATCAACTCAATCCCAGGAGCTGGGCACCGTGTGAATACTTCTTCATCAGGAACCCTGCTGAGGGCCTTGGTGACCTGATCAAAGGTAATCTCAGCTTTGGGAGCTTCAAGCATGCCGTAATAAAAGCTTTCGTTGCTGTCGAACAACGCGAAATATGTCTGTTGGATTTCTCCTGTTTCATCATCGCATTGCTCCCATACTTCCGTGAGGTCATCCCAGCTGGTTATTTGAGGTGCCATGAGAACGGTGAGGCGCGTATATCTGTAAGGAGAGTTGGTTGGGATGATTGATATTGGATGGGACTGGGAAAGAGGGGGAAGTACGCGATGTGAAGCCAAGATGTTCCCCAGAAGGTAAACAAAGACAGGAGGGAAGTGGGGGAATAGCCAATACCTCGTGAGGCTTGAGCCCACCAAAAAAACCCTTGCATCCCCCCGGGGCCGTACAAACGCGCTTACTTAACCCATGGGCGTCTCTGGGCCCCGGGGCCACGGATGAACCTCCCTACTTTCTCATAAGGTAAGATATTGTGGAAGCTCTGGAGTACAGTGACCATGTAATAACAACTTTTTGCTTATCTGAGTAAAACAAGATACCATAGCCTCGACTTTGTCAAATTGCATTTGTGCTTACGAAATTTTGGCTTGGATTGCAAAGGTTCCTGTGATGCATCCATGGATGCTGCAAGACGGAAGGCCGCCGTGGGAACTATATGCGAATATGCCCATTTACCAGACCATCAACACTATGCAGGCGCTTCATAGCTACGCTCGTTGGAGTTCCCCACTGTCGACGAGGGTTTGATGAAGAGATATATGGACTATCTCAATGAGCGCTGCTCGTAAATTTCGGAAATTCCCGCTTTTGTCACTTTAGTTAGAGAGGTAGATACCGCTGAAGGTTACCATAAATTGTCGTACAGCATATTTCCGCCAGAATGGCTTAATTTAGATCAATGTGTCTCGAGTTAGGGTTCAGGAACCAATTCGAAAGAGTGTGGTGTTGGAAGATGAAATAGGATCATTCTTGAAAGGTTGACACTCATGTCTCGAAGCGAGCACTATCCAGTACGAAGGTCTAGTTGCGGTATCTCTGGCCTAAATTCGGGCAGCAACGGCCATGTTTGAAGGGAGCCAGGATCGAAATTTGTTTGCAACATGTCACATGAACCGAAAGACCACACTGTAACTGGCCGATGTAATATGCCAGTGATTGATTTGGCTCGCTGGCGGGTGGGTCTGAGTAGGGCGCGGATGTAGGGCGCGCTGAAGATGTCTGTAGAAGGGCGCAGACTGAAATCAAGCTCAACTTGATGTGACCAGGTAATAACGGGCTCGGCGACTGGAGGGTGGTATGAAGCAAGTCCTTGAATGCATACTGGCAGCAATAGACACAATGTCTATTCATCAGGAAAATTCAAAGGACCCCGTCAACTTGAGCAGTGCGAGTATGAAAGATAAGATATTCTCCTTCAGAGGCCGGAAGAACGGAATAAAAGAAGAAGGATCATTCAGACTAATACCGATCAGTTAAGTACCACATTGTCCTTGCCGGCACGATCTTTACTTTCAACAGCGCCCTAGGATCCTCCCTCCCCTCCGGTGCGGCCTCGGAGATCGCCGCTGTGTTTGATCTGCTTAGGGATGGGCCCTTGATCGTCCTCCTTAACTCGCTATATCTCGTCGGATTTGCCGTGGGCCCACTAGTCTTTGGACCGATGAGCGAATATCTGGGCCGGCAACCCGTGCTCATCGGGACCTATATTGGCACACGATCTTCACGATGGCCTGTGCCTTGGCCCCGACATATCTTGCTCTTCTTGTGTTTAGAACTCTCTGTGGAATCTTCGCTGCTGCCCCCAATGCAGTGCTCGGTGGATTGAACTCGGATCATTTCGAAGAGGGACCGACTCTGTTTACATCAGATGAGCGTGTCGTTAGTTAACTGTGGCCGGACGAAAGCTAAAAAGTTTCCTGTCTGTGGTTCGTTGTTCTTTTCCCTCCATAACTTTTTCCAGAGTCACAGACAAGAACCAGTCCATACACCCACTTCATCTACACATAGAGTCATCTCCCAACGCTCAGCCATGACTCCGAGCAATACGCCTCAGCGCAAGAAGGCCCCTGTCAAGCGGGGACGTCCTGCGACAGGCTTTGACAAAAATCACGAGTTCCTACTGCACTGCCTTACTCACTCAGATGCCCGAGTCAGTTACCTTTAATCCTCATCTCTAGGCTCTCTAGCATGTGCTAATTGTGTTGCAGATTGACTATGCTGCCGTTGGAAAATGTGAGGGCATGTCGGAGAAACAGGCCCTACGCCGTTTCTATTGGCTGAAGGCCCAAATAAGTAGCATGAAAAAGCTACTCCCGGTGAAGACACAGAGGCTGAAAAGCAGGGTCAGGGACAAAGGATAGCCAGGATGGGAACGATGCCAAGGACAACAGCTAACTTCTGTCTCAAAATACTTCGTCTTGTCTCCCCTCCTATTGTGAAACTGCTTCGTGTGCAATCGGGGGTCGACTGCTAACGGGGGACTCTGTCATTAACTGGGTATTCGGTCTTCAAATTCCGATTAAGATTACAGAGAAAGGAATATTTATTCATCTTTCACTTTCCTCGAGGCCCCAGAATCTACCCATAGGCCACCAAGCCTCTCCTCAACACTCGGCCTAAGAAACGGACCCCTATGACCAGGCGGAAAATAATTTACCCCAGCACAAACTACATTTGGTTCATTCACAAGACCGGATACCTGCAGCCGTTCTTGGTCCCAGAAGACATAGCCCTGGTTCCGCAAATCGAACATAGCAGGACTATCAGGCTTGACAAAGTCGTGGAAACTCGTACCCCATTTCCAGCCAAGGTTGCAACTGCCAACTTCATCACGGGGAATGGAAACCAGTTTACCCCGAAGGACGATATTTTGCTCTTTCTCTTCGCACGATCCGATGTCTAGTCCACCCTGGGAAAAGAAGTCTGTGACGGTATTCTTGCGCGACTCCATGTCTGATTTGAGCATGGCCTGTTTGAGGGCTTGGGGTTCCATGAGACTCAGGCGCAGGATATACGATAAGCCACAGGATACAAGGAATTTCACATGGCCCGAATGATGGATGTCTCGGTATGATTTTGTGAAGAATGATAGGTCACCAAGACCTTGGTTTTTGGTTGATACTGCATTTCCCGAAGCTTCTTTCTCGACGCCCACGTCGCCAGAACCAGCGAGGGAATAAGAAGCCATGAAATCATCCTCGACTCTTTCGCAGAGCGATCTAATAAATTGAGCGAGGAAATGTTGTACGCTGATAATCTCTTCGAATTCATAGAGCGTGAATTGCGAGACGAAGCTCAAAACGATCTGGGAGAAATTTAGGGCCGCACTTTTGTCGATAAGGAGGTGTAAGATACGCTGGAATCTCGCATATATTTCACATCGATAGAACGCCCGTTGAAGACGGGCCTGTTCAGTAGATGACAGATTCGCTCTTGGGTGGACGGTTGTCGTTTGGAACGGTGTTGGTTTTTCGTGGTGCGAGGTCAGATTGCCCAGTGACCAGTGGCAATAGCTATCGATCAGGCGTTCAATATTGACATGAAGGTAGAACAACGTATCGAGGTTCGCATTATCCACGATAAACTGCTCAATATTCTGACGCCTACGAGTGCGGTCTGTGGTAAAGAGCGAGAAACATTCAGCCTTGGCTTTGGCAATGCTTTCACCGGACTTGACAAGCCTGGGGATATTCTGTGCGTCCAGCGCGGTATAAACGTCCGCTGCACAGGCCGGGTGGATGGCCTGACGGAGAGTATGCCCGAGAAGATGTTGTTTGTAGGCGACGAAAGTGCGGTATAATATTGGCAAGGCCCTGGAAGCGGAGAGAAGATCAAGCGGGGACAGGCATTCTAAAATAGTCAAAAGAATTTCTGTAGACAAGGAATATATCATGGTGTGAAGACGGTGACTACCTTCCCCTTTTCGTTTTGGCTTCTTGGTCCACTTTTTAGATGTTTCTCATTGGTTTGTCCTGTCAGTACTGGCAACCTTAGTCAAACCTTGAAAGGTCCCAACATTGGCAAAGGCACTATACCACTATACAAAATCATGGAGATAAAAAGTCCATATGTACTAACATACTATTGACGACATATTTAAACCGTTGGCTAGATACAAGACAGGGACGTCCAGCAAAGGAGGAGTAACGAAACGAAGGATACTGCTTGAAATGCCACAATACAAACCCGATATTGAGCACAGTCAAGGCATTTATTCCTATTAACCGAATGAGGGTCGTCATGACTAACTAGCAATTACCGATAAAAGGAAGCGGGATTCGAGCCAGCTCCACCCTGTGAAGGCTGGTACGCCTGATACTCGCCCGTGCTTGCGGCGGGAGGTGGTGGGCTGTAGGGGGTATACTGTGGCTGCTGCGCTGGCCCAGGTACTGGTGGAGGCTGGTGCGATGGAGGAGCTTGATGGGCACCAGGAGAGTTGGGGTACGGGGGTTGTTGCTGCTGTTGCTGGAACTGGTTCGGGATTTGGGGCATAGTGGAGGCAGGCGGGATCTGAGGCGTGTCATCAGCGGAGTAGACCGAGGGCGAATAGTCTTGCTGCTGCTGCTGCTGCTGTTGGAATTGCTGGTGGCCAGCAAGCGGGGCTTGAGCGGTTGGCGGGTACGGCATGCGCTGGGCAGAACCAGGAGCAGGGTGGTCGACAGGTGAATCGTAGACAGAGGTTCCCAATTCTTGGGGGCTATCGTATGTAGATTGCGGGCGGTGGCTAACAGGTTGGTAAGGGTCGGCGTGGGATGGCTGCTGCGGTGCTCCGGCCTGAGCCTGGTTGCGAGGATCAGGTGAGTGAGAGGCTGGGCGGTACGGCATAGTTTGCTCGCTGGTGGGGTATGGTGCGTATGAATTCCCCTGGGTTGGCGTGGTGTCTAGGCAAGTCAAGTTAGAACTGGGGGCGGTCGATAATGTCTAGAGTCTACTAACCCTGAGGCCGGGGAGTGAAATATCGAGGATCTGGCTGAGGAGCAGAGGGGTACCCGGCAGGCGCAGCACCAGGATAACCGTACTGTGGCTGAACAGGTCTTCCATACTGAGGCTGTGTCGGATGGGCTAACGAAGCCTCAAGGAGGGACTCATAGTCGCGACGAGCTTTGATGAACTTTTCATTGAGCTGGGTGAATTCATCTAGACATGTGTAAGCGAGGCATCCGCGGCAAGACAAACGACTGGCTGGTTACCTTTCTTCTGCGAATATTTCCCAATCAATTCGATGAGTTTTGGGCGAATAGCAAGCGTAGCTTGATAGAGAGTTGTAATCTCTTCGTTTTCTTGGACATTGAGGTCTGTATTGCGGGTGCTCAGTAGAGTCAAGAGCTTCTCGACACTCTTGATCTGGCCAAAGACGTCCGCCTCCATTTGAGC